TCTGGTTCTAACAATGGCTCAGGTTCTGATGATGGCTCCAGTGCAGGAAGTGGCTCAGGATCTGGTTCTAACAATAGCTCAGGTTCTGATGATGGCTCCAATGCAGGAAGTGGCTCAGGTTCTGGTTCTAACAATGGCTCAGGCTTTAGTTCAAGGACCTCTTCGTCTTCATTATCGACAGCTTCTGTAAGTGCTTATGAAGGTATTGCACCAATGAACAAGGTGTCATTCTTTTCAATTGCGTTGATGCAAACGGCCATGATGGCGCTCTTGTGAACAGTTCACAACCATAAAAAAATAAATTGATTTGTTGAACTCGTGCTCAAATAGACGAGCTTTTCTTATATACTATTTTGAATGAATAGTGCGATACATCTTCAAAATATTTGTTATTAATATTGCTTATTCATTAAATTTCATCAATAATTGATATACCCTGAAAAAAATATACTTCATTAAACCTTTATCTTTTTGTACTCGCTTGAGTTTATTTCTCATTATAACAAAAGTTCTCTTTCTCCTAAATAAAAAATAAAAAAGGCACGTAGGAAGAGTCGTTTATGATACGTCAAGTCTTAATTACTGCGCCAATTATATGTATTATTCATGTTTTTTAGACTGTCGGAATTTACGTTTTTCGTGTAATGTTGAAAATTTATATGCGTCCAATTGCAGAGACGACCAACCGCGGGCTTTGTATGCAAATGTTGAATCAACACTAGTCCTAGGTTTAAATTTAATTTTTTTGCTCATTAATAATGTCGGTAGCTACAATGTATTGAACAATTATTGACAAAGTAAAGATCCTACACCCTTGTCGTATATAAATATTTTGCTTTTAGTATGCCCATTGCACTCATTTTACTGAATATGCTGTGGCTGGCTCTCATGTGCTCTCTTTTTTTCATCATTTACGCTTCGACTACTGCAATAACTTGACTGCTCTCTGTTTCATTCTCGCTTGCAAGATATTGAGCATATACTTTCCCATGGTAGTCATAGGCGTATGTACCGCAAAAACTTGTCCTCGCTATTATCCTTGGGTGCAGACATACCCAAATCAAACATGTCAATCAGATCCACCGAATACATTTTCTTGCGGTATAGATAGGAAGAACATGTACTTTATATGATGTGCACTTTTAAGGTTCTCTTTGATGTGACGTTTCGAACAGTGGTTGAAACGAGGGGTGCAGATATTTAGTTTGGTCTCCTTGACTTCAGGGATTTCTATATTACCCTTGGGCATAATGCGTTTTCTCAAGTAGTGCTCCTGCGAATACAACGTAAAGTGGTTCATGATCTCGTCCAATACGTCTTATCGTTCTTCTGTGATTGGAATAAGTTGGAGTAGAAGCCTCATTGCAAACTCCTTTAAAAAGGGATTGACAATTTGGCCTCGGCAAACCAATACTGGTGCCTCTTCAACACTAAGAACTTTGATTACATGCAGTTCCATGCTAGATCAGGTGCGTGGTTATCTATGCTTGTAAAGCGCGAGCACATCAACTTTCCAGACTTGTATGCACACTCCGCGGTTACCACCTTGCTATATGCACACAGCCCTATTTACTAGTTTAACATGAGTGCGACCTGGCGGGAGAGAACTAGTAATTAAAACACAGAACACTATGAAAATTGCAGACATGGCATTTAGTAATAAGACATAATATATAGTTCCCTGCCAAAGTTTCAATACAAAAACGAAACTTTATGATTTTTCTGTCATCTGGTAGATATCCCAGTATTCTTGTAAATAATCTGAGATATGGCTAAGTAACAATTCTACAAAACCTAATTTTTTGTTATACCACACAATTATTACGTGATATGGTAAAACCGCATCTTCTCTGCCTATATTCTCAATTTCCAAGAATATCCTACATTATTAAACCTATGGGCCACATTGAAACTTTTTTTGCCCACATTGTAGTTTTTTTCTTAGCGCCATATGTTCAGAATGTAGTTTTTCAAAAAAAAAACGCACGCTGAAATGATCTTCAAGAAATATTTTGGTAATGCATGACATTTCACAATATTGTTTTTCGTCATTAGTACATCTATCATCCCTGTTTACTAGACACCAATCATCTTTCAAATGATGAATATCAGATCCACATATACCACATGTGACAACCTTGAATACTACGTCATTCGGACAAATTCTCTGACTTGTAATTTACCTTATGCAATTCATTCCATTTTTTTGGTTATAGACATACCCAATAAAGCTGTCAGGAGTCCCCATTATTTATTCAGTAAATATAATTCTCTTGAAAAGATTCAATAACTACAATTTTATATACAATTTTCGTAAATACAGGGAAAGTTATTGCACTATTGAACTCGACAGAAATTAATGAATTAAAGGAATTACCGGAATTAGTGGAGACAGGGGCTTAATAGTCAATGATCACGAAATTTCCAATATGATGCAATACCTATTCATGGTATTCAGTGTCTCTACATTAGTTACCTTCTCGTTTTTTTATCATTGTATTACTCCTATGTTAAACTCTTGATATAATAATTAGATTAATTTATATGCACACAAGTTTTGTTGAATCATTAATATTAATATGATTATAATCCCACCGGAATCTTTGAATAATCTGCCTATAAAACTTTGTGATTCATTATCTATCTCTAATTAATTCAACCCCGTCATACACAAGTATACAGTTCTGTGGAGATTACATATATATTCACTGCCATGTTTTTGCAGAATAACTGATCAATGCTGAAAACACTCTCAAAACACTTGTTGAAGTAACAATTAAGCGTCTTTGGTTTCCTGAGAAATCTACATAAACCTAAATGGAAAAATAAATATTTTTTTAGAGAACTACTGCCCATTATCTACAAAAAAAGTGTAATTTCTGTGTGAGCTGCACTCTCAGATAGTTATATTAAAATTAAACTTCTTCGGGTGATTCGTGCGAAGCATCTTTAGCTTCGTTAGATTAAAAGCTTTGGTTCTTTATTCAATATTATAATAACTAGTATACTCTGAGCCTTATTGGAGGTGGGACATAATTTACTTAATCATTTATATATTTATAATAACAAACGGACATTGAACTTGCGGATGTTTCACATATATTTCTCTTTCTTGAATATTCTAATATAATCTTCCTAATTATTTATATGTTCTCAACATCCATCTTAGATTATCCATATAACCTCCCATTTTATATCGATTTCTCATGTGGTAACACTAAATCTATTATTTCACTAATTTTCATAAAATTAACAAATACTATACAATCTATCTAATAACTCTATTCCAACTGCCAAATCTAACGACTTATTTACCAAATTCTATGCTAAATCGAACAATAGACTTTTCTTTCATTATCTACAACAATCTTTACATCAAACCTATCATATATCCATATTCTATATGCATTTTTCACAATTAAGAACTATGAGCCATCTAGCTCGTCCGCTCTTCTCAATAATAACCACGCAACATCATGTGAATCAATACCATGTGAATGATTATCATGCGTTTTTCGTGATTGTACTAGGCTTCGCAGGATTTGCAGCAGGCTAACAGACGCCAAACTACGGGTGTAATAGAGGAAATATAACGATATAGTTGGAGTAAGGTGCATATATGTACCACATTGTTCTACTTCCACGTAGCTTAGTTCTATTAGGAAAACTAAAAATTTGCAATAATCCAAGAATCCGACTAACGTTTGCAGAAAAATTCGAAAAAAAAATACTATTTTGGAAACCTCAATAGGCAACATCTTGGTATGGCTGGCATATAGCATGCTGCTGTGGATATTCTTATTATAGAGAAGGTTAATCTGAATATGCCCCTTGGAATAATACATGGTACGCACCAAATGCACACAAAGAGGTTAAAGTTGAGCCTGGTAAACTGGTCAAACATGCTTCTCATACACTTTTGATTCTTCCATCTATCGCCGACAGCTTCTTGTACGTGTGTCGCTGCTATACGAAAGCTTGTTGTGTTAGTTGGTTTCATAGAAAACACTATACCCTAAATCCGTACAGCTGAACATATCTTTGGCGTGCTTTCGAAACTCCTCGTGTAGTTCGTCCAACATCAACATCCCGTCCGGTAGCAAATTTCGAACCATGTTATGGTACTCTCGGACCAAGCATCTAACCAATCTTCCGAGGTCACTCGTTCTGAACCCGAAAGATCCGATCATCACCTTTCGGTTATCCTGCTGGTGGGCAATCGTCTGGAATGCCGGCAACGTCGTATTGAATTTATGGTTGAATGGCCGCGTGAACTCAAATGCCTGGTATCCTAGATTCTCCCAGTTTTTGATAATCTCCTTGGCGTTGTTTCTCATCAAACTATAGTTTGCAATGGCCAACTTCAAGAAATAGTTGATGCCATTGAGAATCTTGACCCGCACCTTCGACTGCGGCCTGTCCTGGAGAATATACTTCTTGACAGCCTCACTGGTATGCTTTCTTCCTTGTTTTCGCTGTAGAGGTGCTGCGGGTATCCCTTTCCATAATATAAGTTGGCGTTGCTTGTACGGAGGAACTTATCCTCGTGTCGGAGATGGGTGTGTGGACCTTCGATGGTTGTCATTGAAGTCGGCGGTTTGATGTCGTCTTTTTCGCGGTATAAGTAGGAGAATCCGCATCTTTGATTAGGAATTACATATCCCGTTGTTCTAAAGTCGTGCTGTAAAAGATTCCTCCTAATGTCATGCTCTTTTCTGAGGTGCTGATTGATGTAGTTCTGTGCGCAATGGTTGAAGCAAATCTTGCATACATTTAGTTTCGATTCCCTGACTCCTGCTATTTCCGACGCGTGATCGACAGATACAACACTTTTGGGCACATAATGGTCCTTTGAGTGGTTGTCGAAGGGGTTATTGATTGTTGATAGAATGCCTTCACGGATACTAGAATGCCTTCACGGATACTAGGACAGCCTACGAGATTTACTAAATATCTCTGGGTAAATCTCTCGGAAATCAGGATAATAATACTTCCGTTATGTGTTAAAACAGAAACTCCATCAATTTCAACAATAGATATTCCGTATGCTTCCATTTTTGTTGCAAACGATGCAGGGTTGAATATTTTCAAAAACGGACAACTCATCATCTCTCGTTGACGTTCGGATCGCGTGCGTGCGCATAGTGCATGTGAAAATAAACCTAATTGGAATCTACAATAGAAGAATAATCTGCAGCACTGCGCGAAAAAGGAACACAAAAAATGACATGCGGTGTGGCAACCACAGTTCTACAATTATCTTTATAACGTATATAAAACTCATCTACGTTCGATATTGCAAGTTAAACATACAATACATGTATACAATAACATGTCCAAATTTCAGAAGAAAAATAAAACTTTCATATTTTTAAAATTTGCGAAATATTTCTCTCAGTCTATGATATCTCTTTTTTATGCGAAAATCTAAAAAAAACTAAAATTTCTACTTTGAGGAATAGCTTCTGAAAAGATCTATTCTTCATGGAATATATTCTATATCATTGAAATAATAAAATACAACCTCTAGTTCATAAATCGGAGGAATGGTTCCAGACTTAAAATGTACAGTTAGAAATTTTGTATGACCCATTTTTTTTAGCACTGTCGAGGTTCCGCTCTCAAAAAGATCTGTCAAGGTTCCATTAGCTTTCATTAGTATGTTATATGATAATGGTTTATACCAGGACGATAAGTCTTTTATATTTGATAAATTGGAAAGCCAGATATTTGACATGCTCATCCGAGAAAGTGTGAATTAGTATAGTAGATCTTGGCTCCTCAATAGTCGTATCTGATTCATAAATGGCTGATAATAATTATTTCTTAATGAGCTTTTGGTAGCCATATAAAAATGCTTTTGTTAGAAAAATCATGTTATTGGTGTATATACTAATCACAACCATTGCATGGTCTCCAACATGTTATAAATTAACTAAGTTCGTATTAGCCCACGGCTCCCCAAAAATATCTTGCAAATGTTAATGGTGAACCTAAACAAACAACTTCCTAGCGGATGGAACTTTTGATTATGGGAAATACGTCATCATATTTGCTGTTGAAGCTTATGAAAAATTGAAAAACCTCTATTGCAATTGTAACCTTTCAAATATCAGGGCTAATATTCAACCCTCAATGAAGAAAATAAAGTGAGCAGACAATTGTTTTAAATTATCCGATGTTGTTTTATAAAATGTTTTGTTGTTTCTTTCTGTATTGTCTATGCTTCCTATTAGGTGGGTGATACATACATAAGTCTCCGACTATATAATACTGCTTTCCTTACTTACTTATCTATATAATTATTTGACTTATTAGGAGTCATAAAATCAAACCAACCCCTAAAGCAAAAACAACATGCCGAATTTTTTGTATGATTAGTTCACATTCAATTGCATTTTATTTACTTATCTTCCACGATAATGATCTTGGTTAAAATAATGGGTGAGAAATTCGAAGTAGAACTCCAATATCGAGTACGAATGCAATATTTGGTACTTACAAAACGGAACAGATTAACAGGTTGAACTGATGTTTAATTGTTCTTATATCATTATTTCCTTTTCTAATTGTTTGCATTCTGATACGTTTACTTTAAGGTGGTGGGGGGAATTTAGTTAACGTGTATTCTGAGAAATACTCTGATGTCTTAAGCTAGACCAACGGTATAGACGAAGTGCACCCACCAGTCCAGTAGAAAGTTTCTCAACAATGCCAGTTCCCCACAAAAATATACATTGATATCATGCGCCTTACTGCAATACAATGCCGGCAACTTTTAATGCATAACTCTCCTCAGAAGCAGTACGAGATCTCGAAAATTGTTGCTCCAAAAAGAAATATGGAAGATACCCCACCATTAAATTTGACTCGAACTAAGCCATTTCGTGAGGATCATATATTGCAAGTAAAATCACTTTTGTTTAATATTGCCTTAGATCGTACAGCCTACAGGTAACTCGTATAATATCGAATAATAAGTTAATTCATTAAATGGGCTATGAAGAAAAATTGGCAGTACCTGCCTTGAAGTTTAGATTGTTTTTGGATAAGTTCCCAAATATTTCCAATGTATATGTTGTTGCATCTATTTCATGTATATCGGGGTTAATGTTTGGTGTTGATATTTCCTCTATGTCTGCGTTTCTAAATAATCCAAATTATCTTGACTTCTTTAACAAGCCTGATACAACGATTCAAAGTTTTATAACTGCTTCTATGGCCTTCGGATCTATTTTTGGCTCAATCTCTTCATCATTTGTATCAGAACCATTTGGAAGAAGAGCGTCTTTGATGTTGTGTGGTTTCTTCTGGAGTGTTGGTGCCGCAATTCAATCGTCTTCCCAAAATCGAGTTCAATTAATTTTGGGTCGTATAATTTCCGGATTTGGGGTTGGATTTGGCTCATCTGTGGCCCCTGTGTATGGCTCTGAATTGGCTCCAAGAAACATTAGAGGTCTAATTGGTGGGTTGTTCCAATTATCTATCTGTACTGGTATTTTGATTATGTTTTATATTAGTTTTGGTTTGGGTCATATCGATAGCACTGCATCATTCAGGATAGCTTGGGCTTTGCAAATTATTCCTGGACTTGCCTTGTTAGTTGGATGCTTCTTCATCCCAGAATCCCCAAGATGGTTAGCTAGACAGAACTGTTGGGAAGAGGCTGAAATTATTATCGCGAATATCCAAGCCAATGGTGACAGAGAAAACCCAGATGTTCTAATCGAAATATCAGAAATTAAGGAGCAGCTAATAATGTCCGAAAACGCCAAATCTTTCACCTACCTTGACTTGTTTTCAAAGAAATATATTTTCAGGACGTTCACCGCAATTTCGGCACAAATTTGGCAAAATCTTACTGGAATAAACACCTTGATGTATTATATCGTTTATATTTTCGACATGGCCGGTTACAGTGGTGATCAGAACTTAATTGCTTCTTCGATTCAATATGTTTTAAATTTTGTGATGACTGTTCCTGCATTATATTTAATAGATAAACTTGGTAGAAGACCAATCTTATTAACAGGTGCAGCATTTATGATGATATGGCAATTTGCTATTGGTGGAATTTTAGCCACATATGGGCAGCCAACGGATGAAGTAAAAGGCAATGATACTGTACGATTGAGAATCCCTGAAGAAGACAAATCTGCAGCAAAGGCAGTTATTGCTTGCTGCTATTTATTTATTGTAGCCTTCGCCCCTAGTTGGGGTGTATGTTTGTGGACATACTGTGCAGAGGTATGGGGCGACAATCTTTCTAGACAAAGAGGTAATGCATTAACTTGTGTCGGTAATTGGAGTATGAATTTTACAATCGCAATGTTCACGCCATCAGCCTTTAGGAATATTTCTTGGAAAACGTACTTTATTTTTGGCATTTTCTGTGGATGTATGTTCCTTCACGTCTTTTTTTGCTACCCTGAAACTAAGGGCAAGAGGTTGGAAGAAATAGGACAAATTTGGGAGGAGAAAGTTCCAGCTTGGAGGTCAGCCTCTTGGGAGCCACATATTCCAATACTATCTGACAATGAACTACAAATCAAAATGGAGGTCGAGCATAAAGAGTCAATTGAGTGAAAATTGTTGACTTCGGAGTTGCACAAGATACTTCAGAGTACAGTTGTAAGTTGTTAAATGATGGGAAAAAAAATAATTATACTAGAATTGTGTCGTGCTCCATATGTGTAGCATCTGCAACTAGTTCAAGCTTGACAATAATGCTACTCTAAGCTGGTTCTAAGTAGTACAATTTTTAAGCTAATCACGCAGGAAAGAACCGTAGTAATTGCATATTGTAGATTATCTCTTCGATCCAATTTATAGGTTTATAAATATTATTTGAAATAGTCGATTTATGATATATTAGGTAGCGATTTGCTTTAAAATTCAATAGAGAACTTTAATTCAAACTGTTTGCTCTGAAAGTGTAGCGATATTGAAAGAAGAAAGGTTCATATATGCTAGAGGGGTTATATTTTACGACTTCTCTTCAATTGGAGCAGGTAAACTATTTACTGTATTATTAACCACCAAAATTTTGGTATGTCAATTAATTTGTAGCACTCAAAGCTGATTTTTAAACAAAAGAAACTCGGACATCCTAGAAAGCATACTAATCCATTTATGGGGGAAATAGACCTAAAATTTGCTTCAATAAAATGCAGACACATATTCTTTATCTATGCTGTAAAAGCCAACTACCTTGCATTTCAAAATAATTAATATAATATTGAAGACTATCGTGTTACTCCATTAGAATTCAATAGGAAAATCAACTTTTGATAATTCGCTTTCAATATGCCAGAGGCTTTGAAGTCGCTTTAAACAATAAGCAATCGGGAATCCATATCCTTTCCATTTGCCAATTTCATCATTTCTCCACTTATCAATTATCAAAATAAATGTGAGAATGGGGTAAAACTTGAGAAACTATGACCTGAATATGAAGATAGAATTGTTATGGCTACATCACAAATTAATGTTACAAGGTCGAGCTACCTCTTTTACCCCATTACCCGATTTGCTCAATCCCGGAGCACGATTTCCTTCAAATTTCTCATGCACTATTTATTTGCTGGCTTTAGAATCTGACTCGTTCCACGCGTTCTGTACATATTTTGATCTATTTTCGTTCTATCTTGGCTAAGAATTGATTTTGTAAAATTTATGTCGTCGAGAAACAATAGAATTTCGACATTTTGTTTGCTGCATATCTCCACTCACAATCTTGCGGCTGAAAACCCAACCCCCCACCACTCCACATGAACCAAAATAACTAAGTTCCAGGAAATTATAAATTGCAGGCAAACAGATGAAATTTTTCTGGTAACTATTATAATTGACTTAGAGAGATATTCATACCGATGAGGATTGTTAGAAGTCTGGTGAGTAAAAGATTTTTCTCTATATCGGGAGTCAAAAATAAGAATAATTCGGCTTTGCCATTGAAAATTTCTGAAGAAATTCAGCAGGCACTCAATGATAAAAACAAGCCAGTTGTATCATTGGAATCTACAATTATTACTCATGGACTACCATATCCGCAAAATATGATCATGGCTACAGAAACAGAGAAGATTATTAGAAACAATGGAGCTATTCCTGCTACCTGTGCCTTCATTGACGGGCTCCCAACCATTGGGTTGACAGGACTGCAACTCGAGTATTTAAGTGAGCAATCCTCCAGAGCTATAACAAATAAAGTATCACGGCGAGACATCGGTTATACTATGGCCCGAGAGGTTAATGGTGGAACCACTATATCGCTGACTATGGTTTTGTCACATTTGGCGGGAATAAAGGTGTTTGCAACAGGAGGTTTAGGTGGGGTTCACAGAGGAGGTCAATTGACCATGGATGTTTCAGCAGACTTAAACGAATTAAACCAAACGCCCGTAGCTGTTGTTTGTGCTGGCCCAAAATCTATTTTAGATATTGGTTTAACTATGGAATATTTGGAGACACAAGGTGTATTCGTAGGAACTTACAATGACGATAAAAGAGAGGCAATTGAAATTCCTGGATTCTATTGTCGTGAATCAGGTATCAAGTCCCCTTATTCATTTAACTCATTCAAAGAAGCTGCAGCAATCATTCATCATCAGAACAAGATGAATCTCAATTCTGGAAGTGTTTTCTGTGTTCCACCTCCGCAAGAATCAGCGTTATCGACAGATTTTATTAACAATATTATCAATAGTGCAAATGAAGAGGCAAAAGCCAAAGGAATAAGCGGGAAAGATACTACCCCGTTTTTACTAAGCAGAATCGCCGAGGCTACTGGAGGCAAATCAGTTGAATGCAATATCAAGTTTGTTTATAATAACGCTAAATGTGCTGCTGAAATCGCTAAGAATTTGCTTCAACTAGAGACTAGGGAAGAATTTAATGTAAGTCTTTAAATCTTGTGTTTATTCTTGAAATGTGTACTAATTAATATTTAGAATAGTGATCGAAGAGAAGAACCACTTTTTCCTACAAAAACATTTTCCAATGTAAGAGAAAGACAGATTCCCACAACCATCGTACCTGATTGTGTTGATACAGTGGTAGTCGGATCGATTGCTTTAGATACTAGTAGTAGATTTAAAGAGCCTAATATAACTTCCAAGGATTCTAATCCAGGACACGTTGAATCATGTATCGGTGGGGTGGGGTATAATATTTCTTTGGCTTGCAAGTATGGATTAAAAGCTCTTTCTCCAGTGGAAGAAGGATCTTCAAATTATAGGCTAGTTTCTGTTGTTGCGAATGACTTTTCGGGCAAGACCTTAATAAACCAATTAGGTGCCAGCGGTATTGATACTTCTGGGATACATATTTCTACATGCGACGATCATTCAACTGCCCAGTATATTTCGATACATGACGAAAGAGGAGATTTAATTATTGCTTGTGCGGATATGTCTCTTCTCGAAGAAGATTTAGTTGCTCAACATATTAAAGGTCAGTTGCTTAGATCCCAGCCAAAAAATATTGTATTTGATTGTAATATTTCTGCCAAAGTCATGAATGAAGCCTTGGAGTTTGTTTCAGATCATTTACCGCTAACAAATGTGATAATAGAACCAACTTCATCTCCTAAAGCTAGGAGAATTGGTCAGATGAATTCAAATATCCTCAAAGTATTCCCGAATAATTTAATTCTGTTGGTCACTCCCACTATAGCTGAATTGAAATCAATTTATTCATCTTTCAAGTCCTGTGAACATTTTGACGGAAACACTGAATGGCTTGGTTTGCTTGATTCAATAGGTGTGGATTCTAAGTTCACAGAAAAATTGAGTGCACTTGGAACCAAACACAAAATTCTAGAGGAAGGGTTAAAAGGAGGTTATTTGCAGCAATCTTTTCAGTTATTGCCCTTTTTACCTAATATTTTGCTAAAATTAGGATCTCATGGTGCCCTTTACTTGAGTTTGTCAACCAAAATCGACCATATTTCGATTCCTACGACTTCACGGTATAGTCCTGAATTTGTCGTTACATCTAAAGGCAAAAAATATACTGATATAAATGGTAAATCAAAAAGGATGGGCATAATTATTCAATATTTTCCAATACCTTCTGAGAATGTGGACATAGTGGTTAAGAATGTCACCGGTGCCGGTGATTCCCTTTTAGGTTATCTACTTGCCAGGTTACTGATATCGGGCAAAACCAACCAAAATAAACTGTGGTTAGCTTCAGAGTTGGAAGAACCAGAAGAATGGGCGAAATGGGAATCGTTGCATAAAGCTCAAATTGCGAGCGGTTTGTCTTTGCAAAGCAGTAAAGCTGTTAGCCTCGAAATTGAGAACTTAAAGTGAATGTGCACCTTGACAAGAAGACACACGTATGATTTGCTAATATTTTCATGATTTTTCTAGATATGGATTGTCGTATAGAAATAAAAGATGGACCAAACAATTATCGAAAGGTCCTTAGCGTATAATTTCTGCAAGTAAAATGCATACTACTCTCAATTAAATAAATAGTAATATTGCTTGAACTTTAATTCATCATTTTGCTTAGAAGTAGGTACCAAAAAGTATCCGTTTGAGTTGACTGGGACACAGACTGGTTGATGTTGACCTCGGCCTGTACAAGATCTTTAATGTAAGTAACTCTCACCAGACCCACATAGATGTGCCGTTGACACATACGAAGGTAATCTTTTCCCGCTAAGCTAACTTAATCGTGGAGGCTTCCTGCAAACGGCGATGGATTAGTGGAGATTTATGATATGCAGCTATCTGCATATATCCGGCAATACCCCAACTAAGTTTTGTATGCATAAAAGAATAGTCCCACACGCAGTATTGCAACATGATGTGCGTCAAGTTAGAAATTTTATACTATTGTGGGTATTTTTACTCCTTTCAACCAACGAGGAAACTCTTCCGAGTTTTGGGCTCCAACTGTACTAGAATTAGCCTGTTGTGACTAAATTTTACACAATACTTCTCAATTAGCATTTCCCCTTTACGGAACTAAGATATGCATAGTTATCTTATCACAACAATGCTAGGTATCTCCAAAATTGTAAAAGGTGGAGAAAATTATCGTCCCCCCACCCTTACACCCTACCTCGTCAACAAGGTCAACAATTTTAGCCTTGGGCACGGTAAAAAAAAGACCAATTTCAATAGCTTGATAAATTTTATATTAATATAAATTGCGAGCAATTTTCTTATCAAATTCTTCTAGAGAATCACCAAACTCAATTCATTATGACTATTATTCCTTCCATTCCAGTATGGTTAGATTGTGATCCAGGTCATGATGATGCATTTGCAATCCTTTTGGCAGCTTTCCACGAGAGATTTAAGTTAGTAGGAATATCAACAGTACATGGCAACGCCTCATGCTCAAAGACAACCCATAATACTCTAGGGCTATTGGATGTATTAGGATTTAAGCAGGATGAAGTAAAAGTATATAGAGGAGAAAGCAAACCATTAGTCAAAAAACCAGAACACTCACCAGAAATTCACGGACCGACCGGTCTTGGAGGCGTTGAAATTCCTGATGTGCCCAGAATACAAGAATCTAAGGATCGCACGTATTTACAAGCAATGCGGAAAGCTATTTTGAAATACCTGGGTCAGATATGTGTTGTATGTACCGGCACTTTGACAAATATGGCTACTTTAATTAACACCTACCCTGAATTAAAATCGAAAATACGTTTAGTTTCTATTATGGGTGGTGGAATAAGTATGGGAAACGTAACCAAATACGCGGAATTTAACATCAATTGTGATCCGCTTGCAGCAATGCAAGTATTGAGCGATAAAGATTTAACTGGTAAGACTATATTGGTTCCAATAAATATTACACACACAGCCATTGCAACTGAAAAGGTTAGAAATAACATAGGTTGCATGTTTGAAGGGCTGAAGAGATCTCCAGTGAGAAAGCTATTTTATGAAACCATAATGTTCTTTGCCGAAACAAATCGCATCGATCAAGACTTTACCGAAGGACCTCCTGTTCATGACCCATTGGCAGTGTTTCTTATCCTTGCAGTAATTAACAAGCAAGATAATATAGAAGACGATATTAATTTTGTATACTTAAGACAGCATATAAATGTCGTCCAACAAGGGGAACGTGAAGGTGAAACTAAAATAGTCGTTAGGGATAATTTGGATGAAACTGAAGACAAAACCGATGGAATTTATATAGGCATGGAAGCTAATATCGAATTATTCTGGAGCTTTGTCTTTCAAGCACTTGAGAGGGCAGATGATTATGTTTCAAAATTAATATAGGTGTGTAAGAGGAAAACAATAACAAGTTGTAATACTCAAAAACCTTTTTTACTCTCATTTCCTGATTTTACTGAACTTGGCACTAAAGCGTTGTGGTTTACTTTCAGCCGGAAAAGAGTGGTATTTCAATAGCTGCCAAATCTAATATATAAATATTCTATACCTAAGATACCGGAAGTTCCTTGTTGTTCGTAGTCAGTGAGATATTAATATGAGATTTATTATTTTGAGCATTTAGTCATAATATAATTATAGAATTCTATCATAAACAGAACTTCTTTACCACTAAAGGAGTATTAAGGAAGTTAAGATATTTTTTTCAATACACCAAAATCAGATCTTTACATAATAGGAAAGAATAAGTACTGTAATATTCCGCGAAATGCGCACTTTATGAGTGAATGGTAGTTTTTAGACTGCACTTCATACATCTTTTCATTTTGAAGAACTATATTGTGTTTCAACGGACACTGTTTGCACTATTAATACTTATTAGCCCGAAATCTTTAATAATCTCGCTGTATAGACACTATCCAATATATATTCGAATTTAATTGAAACAGAACGTATAGCTTAGACAACTTAATCCATTAATGGTATGGAGTACGATTCCTCTCAAAGTTATAAGTTGTATATATTCAAGGCATGGATTTTATCACTTCGAAAACCAAATTTTTTTCTTACCATGGCCGTGTACTACTCCTCTTTTTATCAAGAGCTAACAATATTTAAAGCATACATTACAAAATGAATATTTGCGTGAAATCTGTCTTGTTGAATGTAGTTGTTATACTTTGAATAGAAATCTACCTTCATAGATCGTACCGTATAATTAGATTCTACAACCAGCTCTTCAAAAGCTATTTCACCACTAGATTTTTCATGACAACCCTAACAACTTTCTTACTTTCTTCTCCACTAAAACATTTTGCCTTCTGAAGCTGTTCACAAACTACCATTTTCCAAGTCGTTGTTTTTAATGGATGATTCGGATTCGAATGTCAGACTAGATGAATTTCCCCAAAGCTCAGAAACTACTGGGATTATCTTTAAATTTTTTGACAATGCCAGAGTTTAATAAGTATGTGCTATAGCATGATTTGTTGTTTCACCTATGAAATATATTCCAAACGTCTCTAACAAATGAAAGAATATAATTTTTAGATTGTAAGATATTTTGAAGGAAATTCTAAGAGGATATATATGATTTTTAAAGATATCTGCAATATACAAAATTCGCACACTCATCAATGCTTTCCCATATTCGCAGGTGGTTGCGACAGAATCATTCGGCGACAATGCCGATTATGATTCCTGATAGATAATTTGCTGCTCGCATGACCCATTTCAAACGATTTACTGAATTATATCTACTATCCAATAATTTATGGCATTAACTCATATAATACTATACTAATGTTGACGGATTGAGTCGGTATCACCTGGAAAGTACAATTACTATTGTAGCACAAATAGAATAAATTTACGGCTTATATTGCATATTTAACATACCAAAGGCAGTTAATACAAAGCATCTTAATTTTAGGATAGAAACCCCATTTATAGGGCATAATACAATTTAGTGCTTTCTTCCAAGAGCGATTCCCGAAACTGCATCCGTGGGAACACGAGTACGAACTACAAGAACAAAACATTACATCATGAACGATCTCAATGATAATGAGGTCTTTAAGTTGGGCGTTCTGTTATAGTTATAGCAGAACCTAGAAGGGGTCCAAGGAGATTTACACCTCGATATTTTTTGCATGTTCTACACGCCTCTCTATGGATTTGAGAAGTTTGCGCCCAATTTTAGGGTGAAGATATTATTAAATAGTTATTAGAAGGTTAGGAGAAGGCATGAGAAAATAAAAGAATTGCAAAATATTCTAGTAAAAGCTCAGAAACAAAAGGGCGAAATATGAATCGAGAGAAACCTCCCTAGAAAGGCAGAAATCATCAACTACTCTAACATAAGTGGCTAGAAGACAGTGAATAAAGTTTATTATCTGTATCCAATTTTATTCGGCAGCTTTATATACAAAATAACTTAATCAGGTTCTTTGTTTTGAAACTTTTAAATACCTCGAAGCTTTAAGACTTTTTCCCTTGTGGTCTCAACACATAAATCTGATACTCTTAGTATCATTAGTAATGTCGAGGTGTTTCTTCCTCCTTCTGTGCAGTGATTGAATTCAATTCGTCGCCAGCACAATCAGGCTGCGCATGCGTGTTCACCCTGCACTTAATCAGATCAGAAGCTTTTGACACCAGCTTGCTTATACAAATCTACTTCCAGCAAAGCACATGATTCCACCTTAAAGAACAGGTAGTAAGTTGAGGTCAATATCACCCTCCTTTTTTGTATCGCCCTTGTCTATTAATATATATCCATAGCCAGACATGGCTAATACAGAAGTGGCGGGAAATAAAATAGCTGCAGCAAAAGTAAGCTTCATATAAGAGATAAAACTACCCACTTATTTATATTTTTTAAGCTCCGTGAACGGGATACATCTGTGTATCTAACCCAAGACATCTTGTACTATTATGTAAAAATGGCTATATGGTGAAAACTTTTCACAAAGAATTTGAATTAACCTCGGGGTGAACTGTGAACTGACCTAACTTGATATTAATTCATACATGGATAAATAACCCTAAAGATGCAATGACAATAGATTTGTATACTTGTAAGTCAAATAATTTTGATTGTCCCAATTCCGGGAGCGGAATTGTGCTGCAGTATACAGGATACGGTAACAAATCAGAGAGAATTTAAAGTATACTAGCATATGAAATTCATCCTGGAACTTAATTTATCTTTACCCTTTGGTTTGTGACGTGTTATTCAATTTACGAGCGAATCCTATGAATATATAGTTGGTATATGCAGTGTTAGCACTCCTTTTTTCTTCTAATTGTTCTTTTCCTGTTATCAGTTATTATAGGGGCACTTGTCAAGCCGACGAGCTGACTTATATACACCGTTTGCTGCAGTTTCACACTTTCGAAACTAGGTAATATATTGCATGGCTGGAATCTTAAAGTGTAATGGACTCGAAGGCATACTTTGCAAAATAATTTAAAATAAAACTTGCGATTTAACATATTGGTTATTATATAAGTCATCAATAGAATTTATCGAAAGGGCATCATAATGCTGTTTAAGAGTATGCAAGATAAGATTAGATTACAAGACCAAATGAGAAATAATAGAAACGCTGTATATTATTATCCTATTTATATTTAAGATTTTTCTTTGCATGAATTCACATCCTCTTTTGAATTTCCTCCGACAATCTCCTGCGATGCCTTAGACGTCTCTAAATTGTAATTAATTACACTTTCATAGGTATTGCCATGACTATCTTTACTGTGTGAAATTTTATTAACCTCAGAAAAATCAGGGCTTAATTGGGCTCCTTTTCGACCGATGAGATACCAAGGTAATTTAAAAATTTCTTCGATACTTTCTAACGAACGCCCTGACAATTCTGGAACAAAGAACCAAGCCCAAAACATAGAAATAATCATCACACCGACAAAAAAGAAGAATGCGCCATAATTATTCATCGCAATAAGCATTTTGGGCAACGCTTTGGAATTTCCGTATTGGTTGGCGAAATGCAAAGCCATTGAAAGTGATTGAGCAAAAGAACGGACCTTGATTGGAAGAATCTCTGGACCTATCATATACATAAATGCATTGAAACCTAACGACCAACCAACACCAGACATGAATAAGGAAGCAATTGCACCTTTACTTGCCCTTGACTCAGAACCTGAGAGAGAAGGGTTATCATTAGAAGCTTCAGGAACAATTGCCAAGAAAATAGAGAAGTATAAAATTGAGAGCAGTTGTATGATGAGCCCAATATAAAGAGCTTTTCTTCTACCCAAGAAGTCAATGACAAAAAAAGCACATATATAAGCGGAAACAAATTTTACAACACCAAATATAGCGGTCATCTTCAACGTTTCTTTTCCAACAATTCCAGATAAAGCAAAAAGGTCTGGAGCATATATTGTGATTGCATTTGCACCAGTCCAAGGACCTAAAACATGAGAAAGTAAGACAATAGCAAAAAATCTATATCTAATTGATTTTACAAAAATAAGAGTTTTGCAAATTTCAAGGTAGCTACTACCCGAGTTTTCTTCTTTTTCTTTTGATATTTGTCATTAATATCTGAAATTTCACTCAAAATATAAGGATGATCTATTGGCAAATTCCTTATATTGGATAATGCTTGTATAGCTTTGTCAGGATTGTTGACTTTAAGTAACCATCTTGGACTTTCATGACAAAATAATGACCCTATTAAAAGTAATCCAGCTATCGGTATTTTCATTGAAGTAGGAATTATCCACTGGTTATTTGATTCATCAGAAATATGTAGAGCAGAGCCGTAATTAGCAAAATATCCCAACATTATACCTAAGTAAAGGGCTCCTGAAAAAATACAACCACAAAGACCTCTAATTGCTTTTGGTGAAACTTCAGCCATATATGTAGGCCCTATAGTAGTTGTTTGTCCAATTGCAAACCCCTCAATTAATCTACCAGCGTATAATTGGCCTATATTAGTAGAAGTTATTTGTATGATCGCTGCGCAAATCCATATAATGCAAACGAATGTTAGAGACCTGACCCTACCTAACTTATCCACAAGAAACATTGCTAAGATACAACCACCGATAGATCCTAATTGTACCATAGCAGTAATATTCGATTTGAGATTACTAACATCAGTTTCAGATTTCTTTGGGTCATTGAACCCAAACGTTTCTCTGAAAGAACTATGGGAAGAGGATCCTGAAATGTTTCCCTCATCATAACCTCTGGCAGCTCCCAAAACCCCAAAAACTAGTACTGAGAAGCACAATGTCTTATTGTATATTTCTGGAGGCGTATGGTCATCATTGATTCTCCACTTAAACCTTTTAGTCCATCTCCATTTTCCTAGACTCTTGGTATTATCTGTAAGAGAGAATTGTGATATTTCCTCTTTTTGAAAATTATTTATTTCTTCATTATATTTATCATATGCTGGTAACTTTCTGGAGCTCACGTAGAAATCTGTATCCATATTCTTTGCATTACAAAAAATTGTCTTTTTCAAATTAGCCGTATGGTTATCAATTTATATAGATAAATTCTGTGTTCCATTAAAGATATTTAATTAGTAAAATAAAAAACTCACAATATCTCCACATATGCATGCATACGAAATTTGTAATACTGTATTCCAAAATGTAGTTTTACTCCGCAAATTATCGTAAATAGTGCTCTCAAAGTTAAACTCATTTGAGACAGCTCTGATACAAAGCTATCATCCGAAGTCAAAAGTGACCTAAATTGTAAGTAATAAAGTCTAATCGACTAAAACCAATTAATCCATGAGTTGAATACTCAGCGAAAAAAAAATATATCCAAAGAAGTGTTTGGAGTAATACCTGTGACTTCCAGACCCAGTTAATATTCTCAAAATCATTGCCTTGTTTAGTCATGGTATTACATCGAACGAGGAACTTGAATACTGACTTCCTCCAAATGGTGCAGGAACAACTACTTAAAAATGGAGATTTTGCTGAAATTTCTATTGGGCGAATAGGTACTCTTCCTATAAATTTTGAGAGGAGCATGATAAATAATTGGATCGGCAATGCTTTTGTGTACTGGAAAATGCGCTCCGACAAATTTTCAGGTCCTACCGCAAATAGTTGACAGCAATAGCTGGCGACTTATATGTAGCTTCTGTAGTATTTGTGAAATTTCTAAGGTCTTAAATTCATAGAGCATTGTTCGCAAAACGCAATACAAAATTTAAAGTATCTCCGCATACCCCGCAGAGTCTCGAAATGCGGTGTTGCCCCACATATTCTAGGTTGACATAATATTAGGGGCGGATAGATACTTCATTGAAATTATTGACACTTACAACGGGTCGAGTGCATTAATTTACTGGAAAGTTTGAATCGTAATAATTGCACAACTGTACCCTATTTTATTACTTGTAACCATATTTCTCGAGAATATTTTAGGATTTGATTAGAAGAGTAGCAAGCATCTATCGAGAACGGTTAATGATACCATATTCGGTCATTTCCTTGTAATGAGTCGGAATTGCAAATGCCGGATGGTGTTAATTACAATATATGATCAATTATTAAATTCTCTTCAAAAGCTCCACCTCCAATAAATATTTGAAACTCCCATAGAATATGTATTGCAACAACAATGACGTAATTTTAATCACTGTTAGATATAGCTCTTAACATAGTTTTATCAATTTGGAATATTATTGTTCATCCCTTTAAGAAGAACTGAGATAATTCACTAAAAATTTCCAACCTGTCATTGTTTCGTATCGGTTTTTTTATAATCCTAATTTAATCTTTAAACCCATTTAGTTTATCGAAGCTTTGTATTTATTAAATGATTATTGATCAAATACTTCACATAATTCTCTGGTTATGTTTTGTCCCATAAACTGCATCTACAGTTCATGTCTTAAAAAAACCAAAACGTTAAATATTTGAAAGACAGCCCGCTTAAGCCTTCTCAATTATAATTATTTTTTTGATAATGAATCTGTTTCTAGAATCCCTATATTAAGTAAAGAAATCTGCTTGTCCTTTTTCGTCAATTTCGAATAGCTTGCTATGTTTTTAAGTAAGAATTTTAAGTGTGAATAAATATATATAAATCTAAAGAAAATTGTAACCGCCAAAGAAATTTAATCTTTAATTTATTGAAGTTCTCTTGATCCTATCAAATTTAAAACATATACTTATTGGTAGGTTCGAGACTAATTCTTTAATAGGCCATTCTAAAATGAAGACCCAGGAAGTATATTTTATAGATATTTTCCGTAATGATGTAGGTTCAGCATTCTTATAGAAACCAACTGGGTAATACCAACAAAAGAAAGCAAGACTTCCATGAGAATGTCCTAGAGGGCCTCTCTCTAGCCTCGTACAAATTTCTTTGAGAGATATAATGCGGTAAGTATAGTTGCACGAAATTGTTGTAAATAGTAAAAAAAAAGGAAAGCGGAAAATATTTGATTTTTCAGTCCTTGTATGGACTTTTCTGCTCTAAAAAATACAAAGCAACTAAAAAGGGGATTTAGAATCGATAAAAACACTTCTGAATATACGAGGGTGTTCTCCAACAATGTTAAAATACACTATGGTTCTCTTACTTATATTGGTACCATAGTGACATGGCATATATTTCATCTTTTGTTTCAAGTATCCTTTGGTCTATTTATCAATCCACTTTCCATTTTATCTCATTGGGGTGTAGGGACGTTAAAATTAGTTGAAACTTGACAGCCTTAGACTTACATATTCAAGTACATGAAAATATGTTTTCTATGAATTGTATGTGAGAATTTGAACTGTTTATTTATTTCTACTTCGATGAAAACATAACTTATATATCATCTTTATATATGATTGGTTTCTGTACGACAAAACAACTAAGGGTGATTACAGAAAACTGTACCAATATTCTTTATGTTAAATTCCATTAAAATTGCTTGAATTGATTTTAAAACAAAGAGGTCATAGCTTACGAACATCGTATCTCTGAATATTTGGGGAACGAACGTGGATTTTTAGTTCAAAGAGAGCCGCATGTTGCTTCCTGCATTTAAAAGGAAAAAAATTATATAAAATATTTAGTTATGACTAGGACAAGACATCGATAACAACAACAGAGGAGGAGTAATTCACTGAGCTGGCATGCAGCGGAGCAGCCTTAATTTTATTTTCTGTCCCTCCCAAACTAATTAAAATAAAGACAATCAATAAGATATCTTGAATCAATCAAAGTCAACTCTCAATTAGTGCAATTTTATCAGTTTCCTGCTACCTAAATTGTTAGAAACTTTTAATAAAGAAAATATTTATACTTTTTATATAGGATCCATACTTAAATTAATTCAAATATAACAATGAGAATTAAACCTATTATGAATATTGGTGACAACTTGGTAGGACTATGATGAATGAGAAGCTCGCATCTCCTTATTATATGGAAAGTGAATCTGCAATGATACTTTATTAAATTATTTAGACTAATAATATTTAGCCCATAATCTAGTTGACAATTTAGATTCCCTTCGTTTCATTCAAAGTTTAAGTTCGGTAAAACATATTACATACTAATAATGCGGAAAATATTGAACGATTCAAACTAAAGTTTAATGGAAGGTTTTCTTCACTAATTAAGTTGGCATGAATGAAAATATGTTAAATGAATCGTCATAATTTCCTTCCTTATTAAAAAAAATACTTTTTTATTATATTTATTATTTAATGGTAATTTATATTTAAATAATAGAAAAGAACAATTAAAAAGAAACTACTTATTCCACTAATAAGATTCATTTTTAATTTTTTTTTTATTATTCTCAACTGAGAAATATAACATAGTTTATTCATACGACGTTTAAGTCTGGAGTCGATTAACATCTATAACTTCAAGATTAGTTAATATAATTTCAGGTATATTATTTATATTTAATCCTTCAAAGGTTTTCATAAAATCTATTAAAGATATAATAAAAATATTTGATAATAATATTCTATTTAATTTAACAGTTTTAGAAGCTCCGATGTATTTAGCTGCTAATGCTAATTGCATAATAATTAAATTTAAATATGAATAGGGAACTTGGGATCATAGATTAATTGATAAATATATTTAATGGTAATTTATATTTAAATAAAACTCAAAATAAATTTAAAGAATTTAATTTGAATAATCCAAGACTTTTTGAACAATACGGAAGAGTATATAATATATAAGCAAATAAAGATATAAATACTTTTGAGCTCATTAAAATTTCAGTCAGTAGAGCAGGAAGAAAATCTATCCAAGCCATTTGGGTACTGAATTTGAGTATTCGGGCTTCCTTCAACCAAAAGATAATTAGAATACAAAAGTATTAGACTTTTAGGAAATATTGACACATGTAATATTGACATATCATTAATATATGAATAGCTAAAATATTAATTGCATTTTGACGGTAAGATTCATTTAAAACTTTTATTGAAATTTACCGGCTAGAGAATTAAGCCTTATCTGAAAGGTTGGTATTCCTTTGATCAATAAAAGTTTTTATTCCTTCCTTACCAAATTTAGAAAAAAGACGTTCTGCATTAAATACTTCAACCTCTTTCTTTTTGAAATTTCGCGCATTTGTTTTCTCGTGGAATAGTTGATCTAATTCTGCAAATGTTCGACCTTCAGTTTCGGGTAACTCGAACCAGCACCAAATAGCGCTAAGTAAAGCAAAACCACTCCAGAAAAATCCTGTTTTCGCTTTCCAGTTCCATTCTGTAGGATTTAACATATAAGGAGTAATAACAGAAACCAAAATGCTGGACACGTTGTAGACATTTCTAGCAATCACTACTGTTTTAGCCCGAAGTCTAATTGAAGGTATTTCAGTGACAATACAATAGCACATTGAACCGACACAAGTGTTATAAACGAAAGTGTAAATTAATAAGAATGATCCTGCTGCATAAGCTGTTTCTTCTGTATTTGAAATACCAAGACATCCGACCACAAACAAAAGACCAAACATTGTTGATAAACCGTAGAAATATATGGTGAATCTTCCTGCACGTTGAGAAATAAGCCAAACTGTGAGCGTACCCGCAATTCCTAAGCAATATTGGATTATAGTAAATGTAAATGACATACTAGCAGCAAGACCAGCTTGACGATAAAAATAAGACGAGTATCCAATTAAAGCTGAACCAGTACAACTTTGTACCAACCATGTTACTGATGCGATCATAGTCCTACGAAGATCTGTTCCCTTGAAGCAATCCAGATATGACCCTATAGCAATATCAGACTCTTGTCTTAAAGTCATTTTCATCTTATTTAACATAGCCTCAGCCATGGCTTCTTTATTTAGTAAATTTTTATTAATACTAAGTAATCTTCTGATAGAATTCTTAGCTTCAATATATTTTTCCTTTCTTATGAGCCACCATGGGGATTCTGGTGCAAAAAATATACCTATGATAATGGGAATTGGCCATACCCATTGAATAGCAAAGGGAATACGGTAGGCTAATTCTGAATTGTTGGAAACAAACCCCCGAAGAACTCCTGCTGAAATTAATTGACCGATTACCCAGCAACAATTAGCATATGTTGTAAGATAGAGCCTAAGAGCTAAGGGACATACTTCGGAAGCGTAAGTAACTGATAAAGTTTGAAATGCTCCCCATGGAATCCCCAAAAGAATTTGTGCTCCTAATAACATTCCCCTATTTGTCGCAAAAAAGACGATAAAAATTAAGCCTGTTACGAGAGCCAACCCCCCCATAAGTGTTTTTCTGTAACCGATTCTGTCAGCAATAATCCCAGCAATAAATAAACCTATAATTTCGCCAGCATAAGCACCCATACTTAGAGCAATCTGCCACTTTGCAGGTATTTGATATTGTGAGCTATCTTCAAACCAATCACCGTATTTCTCAGCAAATGCCGGAACTGTATAAAGTGAATTAATAAGGTTTTTATCGTACCCTTCCATTATTAAAGTAGAGCTTAATATAACAGACCACGTAACAGCTTTAGGAAATGTTTTCAAACCTTCTTTCAACGACATATCTTTTTCCTTTTTATCTGTATCTTTAGAATTCTCGGAAATATCTAAGAATTTGGTCAAGTACTCGTTCAGCTCCACTTCCAATGGTTCGTCTGAACCTTTCTTTCCTAAATCAATTGCGTTTGTTTTACTAACATGGTTTACATCCTCGATATATGCCACTTCCATTTTGAGTTCATTTTTTAATAAGTGTTGAGCATATACAAAGATGACGATTACGTCGTATTTATATCATTCTATGTTCATGGAACACGGAGTATCAATCACGAGAAGAGGTTTCCCACTTTAATGCCCCACATTTCTGCATCGTTTTTTTCCGAAACTCGCACGGTATTTTTTTTGTTGAGCTAGTTTTTCCGTAAATTTGAATAAAATCAGAAATGTTCTCCTTTGTTCTCTTTCGCAAAATTACTCGCAAGATTAAAACAATATTCTCCGCAGCAATTCACGAGGGTTGGCTTTATGCATATATGAGATTACTTCAATAGACCCGCAAAGCTATGGTTAATTATTATGGAGATTATTAGAGAAATTTTGCAAATGAAGAAAAAATATTCCTTAAGGGATAAACTTCACCTAACAATAGATCTTTTTTTATGAAGTGTAATTATGAGAGAAATAAACTTGAAATAAATTCAAGTTCGGAAGGCTAAGACGAGATAACTAATCGTTATTTATATGAAAGGTGATTTCAAGCTTAGCTATATTAAATTGACACAACTTTGGTATAGATTATTTAAATCATGTTAAGTGGAAGTAAGATAACGTTTCTGAATATAAATATCTTATTCTTTCAGTTGATCACGATAGGAATTTATTTTATCTTTGGTACTTAATTATAAGCTATCTACTGGCCAAATGGACACCAGGCTTCCCTAGTAATTAATCTTCGTGGAAAGAGTCATTTACATTGAAAATAACTGGTTTGTACTACGCAATGTCCTGAAAACATAACAAATAATGACCAAGCCAAAATTAGTCCACAAGGAACCTAAACTAGGTTTATTTATCCCTTAGGAGACAAATCCTGGCTCTGACGATAGCGTGATAAATTTCTATTGAGAGTGAATTATTGTTAGAATTGTTATTGAATCTGTTTACAGAAAATGGTAATATTGGAAAATCGGAAATAGAGTGAAACATGAACGTACGTGACAATGTTTATTCAAGTATAGTTAAGCTCTTGAAACGTACCTCACCAACATCATCTCAGCAAGAAATGTCGCCTGCCGCACATTAATACGATTACTCAGCACTGAAAACTATTATTGCTTGATATTGAGATAGAAAAGGATATAAGATAAACATGAAGACATTGTAATTGATACAAATTGTACGAAAATAAAATGAAATTTATAAGAGGAAGCTTTTTCGGAGTCCTTTACCATATTACAAGACATAAATGCTTTGGTTACAAGGAGGACCTTCTTTATTATCAAGTAGATATTATGATAATTACAGCCATAATTTTAATGGTAATTTTATGGAACAAATAGATGAAGATTTAAAAGAGATACAGGAAATTGAGAAGAGATATCCTGCTTTATACAATCCAATTTTAGTTGATTGGAATGGACCAGAATATTTTAAAGAATCCAAATAATTGACTCTCCTATCAGAAGCTTATATTTGGTTTTCAGATATCCTTTAACACATTTTCAGTTTATGTGTATTCTGCGATTGATGCTTCTGCTATATTGAAATTGGTCAGTATTTTGGAATCAGCCAATATGTCGCCACTTTGCCCCTAACAATCTTTATTATTGTTACGGTATTGGCCTTTGTTATTTTCTCCTATGTCGGAAAATAGTAGGTTCGGAAGAAATAATATTTATATTATCACAACACTTATCTATACAGTTCTTCAGATTCCGACAGCATTAAGCCCAAGTATATCCTGGTTATGTGTTTTGAGATTTTTGGATGGTCTATTTGCTTCATCGTTCATAGCTACTGGTGGTGCATATTATAGCTGATGTAGTCACTGTGCCTAAGATACCTATTGGAATTGCGTTTTGGGAAATTGCTACATTTTTAGATCCCTCCCATTGGCCGTTGATAGGTTCTGTACTGAGTGTTAGGGCCAACTGGAGATGGATATTTTGGTGTATGTTGATTTCCTGGAATTGGAAAATATAAGACAAATTTATTATCAGGTAGTGGGTGATATACTTTGGCGCCTATTTGCTATTATATTTGCAGAACCTATTTTACTAGTCCTTAATTTGTATCTTTTATTGGTATATTCCATTATGTACCTATGGATTGCTGTTGTGATAGCAGCAATAATATATATATTACTTTCGTTCACCACAGATACTCTAAACAATTGGGAACAGATATAATAGGTGAACCCGAAGCATTTTTACTTGGAGCTATCTTCGGAAGCATTATCCCCATCATTTTCGCATGGACTTCCAGTGCAAGGATTCATTGGATATTTCCACTCTTGGGCTCAGCAATTTTTGCGCTAGATGCATATATAATTTTGGAATTTACTAACTATTTGAGTCTTTCCTTTTGGGAATACTTGGCTTCTGTATTCACCGACAACGTGCTTTTCAAATCAATTGTTGCTAGTTTCTCTCCGGTATTAGGTTTGCCATTATTTAATAAGCTTTCATTACCGAAATTCCCTGTTGCATGGGGTGCAACAATCAAGCCTAGTTACAATTTTGATCCCTGTTTGTAAATCCAAACAGGGATATAAAGTGCGATCCCGTTCTAAATATACGGGCAATGATTTATACGACCTCTACTATTAGGGCCTTGTTTTGTCAAAGAATACTAGTTCATATCGAAGTCAATTATTTACTTCAATGATTGATCAATGACATATGAACATGCATTTTCCAATTTCGAGCTATGTTTGTGTCTTCATAAACAAAAGTTACAATTCTGGTGCTTCTTAGGAATGAGAAATTATATTTCTTAAGATAGACTTTTCTTGAGTATACTATCTGCAATATATATAAAGTTCTTTGTTAAATTATAGTTAATCATGTTTGATTTTGAGTCATCCAATTAACCTAATAATTTAATGAATATCAATTTCAGTAATAGCCGATGGTTTTACTTATTCAAATTCCGGGAATAAAAAATGGCCCAATCATTCTAGTATCATTACAGAAGCGGCTTTTTTTTCGTACTCTTTCTCCCTATTTCCAATGTTATTCAAGCTGTTCGGTTACCTGATAATAATATATTTAAGGTCAAGTATATAACTAAATATTTATCTGAAATGAACTGAATATATGATGAAGGAATTATTTTTTGGATCCGAGCAAGTGCTTCAAAATTTGAAAGCATTAGAAATAAATGCAAAGTTCCTCAGTTTGAATCAAATAGTCCTTGTAAGTATCGCTTCACATGATTACGGTAAGGGATTTAACTCAAATAGACAAAATATTCCTTTGTTCATTACATGAGGCTGATAGAATTCGGAGATACCAATTCGTTCGCGATCTTCTTTCAGCGTGCGCACGGAATTAAAACTGAAGGCAATTAATATATAAAATAATATTAAGCAGAAGGCACTCACAATTCAATAGAATCAATTATGCTGTTGAATACACAAATCATAATCAATGCCAAGCCAGAGAAAGTTAGAGACATATTTTTAGACTTACAGAAGCATTCGGAATGGAATCCGTTTTTCACTAGCGTTAAGATTTACACTCCGGGTGCAACAAGTCCGCTCCCAGGAACTCAATTAGAAATTAAAATGAAACTAAACGGCGACAATGAAAACACAATGTATCCTATCGTGTTGGAGAACAGTGCAAGTGCTTTTAGATGGAAAGGCAAATTGCTTTTTGATTTCATGTTTGTTGGTATACATTCGTTTGAATTTATCCCCTTAGAAATAGATGGCCAAACTAAAACAAAGCTTATTCAATCGGAAGAATTTAGTGGTATTTTGGCTTATGTTTTTGAATGGACAGGCTTGAAAGATAAAACGAAAAATGGTTTCGAAGAGCTTAATCAAGCTTTAAAAATGCAAATAGAACAAGATCATTAAGATAAAAATGCAGGTTTGCAATGGTAAAGACTCGGAGAATATTTAAAATAAATTAAATATAAATTATTTAATTTTGTTTGTTTTTGGTTGTAGATAAAAGGTTTCTGCCAATTGATATTCTTTTAGAATGATGGCGCAATTACAATCATCTCGGACTTGAACTCCAATTCACTTAGATGGGGCTACGATAATTGCATAAAAGAAACTGAGTTGCGAAAGGTAATAATTAATTAACAATAATACAATTGAATTGATAAAAGTAAACCCAAGATCCAGGGTGAGCAAAATACGTTTTAGTTTGAGTTGTGCTTTTTTTTTCATCTTTATTAAAGTAGCACATCAAATCAAAATCTTCAAAACTTTCAACATGGATTCTAAGACATGTCATTCCGTTGACCTACAAAGGAATTTTGAGCAGTAGTAAATGATTACTTTATATAAATAAATGGGTCATGCTAATAAAAAATTAATAAAACTGAGTTGATATACCTGCGTTTTCAACATTATGAAATCAAAAATACCATCGTTGTAACAGCGTTGTTTTCAGGAGATTAGCTCAAGGAAGGCGTTGAATTGGTACATTTTTTGAATGAAGACTTCCAGAAAAATAGAAAGTTGTCTATCCTTTAGATCTGATTATGGATACCTTAAGGCGGAGTAAAAAAGATGAATATCGAGCCATAAACTTTGAAGCCAAACAAGAATCCTTATATCGCTTAAAAGTTGTTCATGAAAGATAAAATGTTAAATAGTAGAAGGTCGCTGCTTATCCATTGCAGAAGAAGTTGCGTAATCAGGAATTTTAGCTTCTTCGGATATTGTTGAATTTAATCTTCTTTCAGCTGAAACTGAGAAAGATATTTCCAAATCGGCGGAGGTATTGGGTGAACTTCTTTAAACTATCCTTTTCTTACGATAATTCAAATGTTTGAGAAACATATGGTTAGTCCTTACTTTAAGTTATAACCTACGAGTTCCTACGTTAATTGAAATAAACGAAATTAGCAGTCCAAAGAAATTATATATTGTGTTGCTAAGATATACTGAATCTTTTAGCTATTCCGTACATGATATTTATTTCATCCTCAAAAATCATGTGAACATTCATAGAACTATAATTAACCAAATATAATTCCAATTGTCAACAGGCTACCATGACGAGCGATATATTAATATTTGTGAGATTAGAAAATTTACTCACCTACCAGCATGATAAGTTGCCTTCCTAAAAATGACTTGAAATACAACTGAAACTTCAACAAATAGCCAGTTGATACCATTAAAATCACTCAGACTCGTTCAACCTCGATAAAACTGCTCAAGAAAGACACTATTCAGCACTATTAATTGTAATATTATACTTTAGTGAATAACACTCTGATATTAGTAACTCCTTTCCTTGTTATTGAGGTGTTAATAGATCCTCTGTAAGACAATACGAAAGGACACGTTGTTCCTACCGCCAAATATCCCAATGTCACAATCGTGTTAATTTTGCTAGGCTTATTAAGAAACGAATACATTAACAATATATGTTTTTTGCAAAAGTCTATCGTTATTTAAATGCATTTATATATAATATAACTTTCCTTGCTTGTTCCTCTCTTTTTCAATGCCTTTACCCAAGGTACACTTTTTACATTCTTTTTTTATTATCCATTGGGTATGGCATCCGGTCATATGCCCCTCATTACCATATTCGGTATACCTCCCGTTTTTTTATTTCCATTTTGTTCCTTGAAAAATGCGATCTTTTTAATCCTGCGCTGCGATAAAGATAACAGACACTCAGCCCAAATTATATACAGTAATATTGTTTCAAATCATACAATATATTATATTCACCAGTGCTAATCAAAGTAATTGATAATAAAAGGGCAGAGGTATATGCAATGGCAGTCGAAACTCATACGGTGGCGGGCATAGTTGCCCAAAGAAATCCATTGGAATACCTGAAATCATCACCGTATACTATTTTCCTTTTCCAAGCTATATTGGTTATATTGTTATGCCAATTAATATACTATCCAATTCGTAAGTTACAACAGCCTAAGGTTATTGCTGAGGTTGTTACAGGGATAGTCCTAGGACCATCGGTAATGGGTCACATTCCTAACTTCACTACGAATTGCTTTCCAGAAGAATCCATTCCTGGGTTGACGTTAATGGCTAATATAGGGATTATCTTATTTTTATTTATTATCGGACTAGAAGTGGATATTTCATTTATCAGGAAGAATATGAAGGTTGCAATCAGTGTTGGGATAATAAACATGGCTATTCCGTTTGCTTTGGGTTGCGGTATTGCAAAGGGTATCTACACTACGTATAGAATGGATTCAAATGAACTACCACCAATCGAATTTACTACTTATATGGTATTTATTGCGGTTGCTATGTGTATTACAGCATTTCCTGTTTTAGCCCGTATTTTAACAGAGTTGAATTTGATTACTGATAGAGTAGGCACAATTGTATTGGCGGCGGGAATTACAAATGATTTGACAGGATGGATTTTACTAGCACTAGTGGTTACTTTGGCCAATGCTTCTAATGCTATGAACACGGTTTACATTTTATTATTAACCGTAGCATGGTTTCTATTTTTATGTTTTCCAGTTAGGTTGGCAATGAAATTTTGCTTGCGGAGATTCACCAATGATTTGATTTCTGGAGAACCTTCACAAATTCTGATGTTATTTATTTTAATATCGGTATTCATCTCAGCTTTTTTTACTGATATTATTGGTGTTCATCCCATTTTTGGGGCGTTTATGGTAGGAGTTATTGTACCCAGGACAAATGGATATGTGATAAAAATTACAGAAAAATTAGAAGATTTAGTACATATTGTGTTGATTCCTATTTATTTCGCTTTAGCTGGATTAAACGTGAATATAGGATTATTGAACAGAGGTATTGATTGGGCCTATACAATAGGTATAATTTTATTGGCAATGGTAGGCAAGATTTTTGGAGGTTTTATTGCTGGAAAACTAAATAGATTGCTTTGGCGGGAATCATTAGCAATCGGTGTTTTGATGTCATGTAAAGGAATTGTTGAAATTGTTGTATTAACTGTGGGCTTGAACGCTGGCATTATTACTCAAAGAGTATATTCAATGTTTATTGTCATGACGTTAGTTACCACCTTTTTGACCACGCCTTTGACTTTACTAGTCTACCCCGTTGAATATAGGCTTCGGGTTGAAAAATTCTTAAAAGGTGAAGCAACCTTAGATGGTACCCCAATAATAAAAGAAGGGTCATCAGATCCAGGACTTATTACTTCGGGGAATAGCTCAATCGAATTTCGTTCCTTAGAAAATGTTGATATTGACCAATTAGGTCATTTTAGGATTTCAAAGATAGTCTTGCTATTACGAGATGTACATTCAATTTCGCATTTAATGTCGTTCACGCATGATATATCGCTGCTTAATGATAATGCAGATAATAATTACAAGATTGACATAAAGGCAGTACATTTACGAGAATTCTCATCAAGGACATCACATTTACTAGAAGCATCATATCAAAACAGTTACCAAGAAGAGTCAATAACTAATTTCAATGAAAATGAACTCCATAAATCATCTTCGCTTCTTACAATCATGAAGATGTTCAATGAACTACTAGGGAATCACTTTGTATCGAGATCTGTATTATCTACATTTAAGAATCATATATTTACTATTAACGATCAGATTTCTGAACCTTCTGATTTACTAATTGGTACTATTAATAAAAACGAATTAGCTAGAAGCTTTTCCAATAGCAATAATATTAACAGCGAAGACTCTGAACGTGCATTATATGGGAAGCTATTTCATTCATGTTATTCGCATTTTGGATTGTTTATAACCAATGAAAAGAATAAAACGTCTTTGAACGAGATTAGTGAAGATAAGGGATGCATATCGAACTTTTTCGAAAACGAAGAACCAAGATCAACCTTCGGTATTGAATCGATTAATCTTATCTTACATCATGATAACTTTTTGAGCGCAAGTGATTTGTTATCCTTACATGTTGTCTATAAATTGGCCTTTAATCTATTATCCGTCAATATTTTTATCAACACGTCATCATCACTGTCGTCTGGATTTGAAGAAAAAATTAGATCCTTATTTCTGCTTAATACGAAAGCTCACTTGTCAATTCACTATACTAAAGAAGGTAGTTTGAAAGATGACATCTTAAAGGCTACCACTCGTTCAAGTAATGAAATGTTTGTCGTTCCTAATAACTTGGCCAAATATGAAGAGGAGGGAATGTTTTCAGATTCCGTTAATCAATTAATTGATCTAAGTGAAACTGAAGGGTTCAATGTCTTGGTTGTGAAAGCTGTATCTTTTTGAGTAAATAACTATGAGTATTCAATTTTAATGAAACACGAGATATTTTTCAATGTGGATAAGCCTTAGGTTTTCATCATGTATCTCGCGAATTGATTAATCCCAGTACTATAATATTACCTAATTATATGAAAGAATTCTGTTATTATATTTCAATTTTTGATGTAGGTACGAATTGTTGTGAAAAGACGTAGCAATATACTTGAAATTGCTTTAAAATATGCAGGTAGAATTTATAAGGAAATACATAAAATAGTACTCAAAAATTTTATAAATTCTATTTTCCCATCAAGACCATTTAAAATGAAGCTAGCCGAGGCATTACGGATAAGGAAAGATTACTTATCTAGGTTGAAACAGTTGGAATCTCGTATTAATGACAATTGCTCAGTTCAGGAAGGTGATGAGCCAGCAGAAAACCCAAATGAGTTAATTGAAGAATATATGAATTTATCGGCTGAGTTATCTAATCTAATATGTAATATTAATTTGTCAAATACTCAAATCAAGTTTTTATTTGGGAATCATGAAGAGCCAAAATCTATGACGCAAGCTTTAGCAGAAAGAGATCAATATATTAGGAACATCGAAGTAGTTAGAAATGCAGCTAAGAAAGGCGTTATTAAGAGGGATATGTACTCAAGAAGTGAAATTAAATTTGTATCCACTGTTAAAGTAAAAGATTATCAACGTCTGGTGGATAAATTAGCCCAACATTTGAGGATCTTGGATACCAAGATACAAGAACAAAATTGGTTGTCTGATTTGGTAACTGAAATCACTTGAGAAGTACAACCCACAATATTTTGTTAACTTGTTTAGTTATTCTGTACAAAAACATTATGAGGATATGAGGATATGATAATTCATATGTGTTTGGCTAATTATTGTACAAGAAAAGCTTGTGTTCAAACCAGATTATGGTGTTAGGATTCAGATTGGGTATCAAATCTAGGAAATGTGGGTAATAGCCTGAAATGAGATGCGCAGGTAAAAATAAAGACATTCTAATTTGCAGGCATGAAAGGAGTGTTGCTTAAATATATGGCTTATCTCATCATCATTTACACTTGCATCAATCATCTAGTATTAATCACTACCAATTATCGATTTCCGAGGATTTGAGAGGGTGGGTTAGGGGATTTGAATATAATGCATATTTAAAATTAAACACAGTTGTAGCATAATAAACTAGTAGGCATATTCATATTAATGATAAGGTAATCAAGAGTTTACTAATCATGTTGATTCTCGTAGTTCTACATATCATAGAAGATTCATAGTACCAATTAACAATAAAATGTATAAATGTTTTTCTGATGTCCTATCTAGAACTTTTGGTTGAATAAAACGAGCTTCTCCGTTATTGTAAGTTATGGCGTAATTTTCAATAATTATCTGAAACACAAGATAACACATAATTCACATTTACAAATTCTCTCTTTACGAAGGCTATATATACTAAAACGAGTTTTCTAAACCCAATGATGTAAACTATATTTTGTAAAGATTAAAGTAGTATACATTTTGATGGGATTGCCCCAACATACATAATAAGACATGTAATGAGGATAAGAACTAAAACCCCATAACTACTGTGTGTAAGTAACACATAATCTAACACACGATGTATCCTATAGATATATGCTAGCATAAACTAATAAACGGAGCTATAGTAAAGTTGTATCAGAGACGCGGAGGCCGGCTTCTGGAAAACGAACATGTACAGTAAGCGCAATTTGTCCATACCTGGTTTTGCAATTAAATTGTTTTCCACGGATTATTATTCAAACTCTATTTTTGCTCCCCCTCCTGTTTCTGAACCACTTTTTATGGAAAGCTTTTCTATCGAAATTATGTTTTCGAAGAAGGAGGTATTGAAAAATTATAATTGAAGCATGGTTTAAATTCCTATATATTTTTTCCTCTCTAAATTTTTGAAATTTATAAAAAAGTAACATGTCGTCATTTAACACACAATCAAGCATCAATAAAACTTTCGGGGAAGTTGGATAATATTCTAATTAACGCTATAGATAGATCGAATACCCAAAGCTTCGTTCCTGGTGTTGTTGCAGGGTTACTAACGAGAATGAAACTGCCTATTTAAATGCTGAAGGGGTTGAAAATCTTGATACGGAAAAATCCATGACCAAAGATTCTATATTTGCCTATTATTCATGTACCAAAGCTATTACTACTACTGCTATTCTTCAATTATGGGAAAAGGGTCTAATTGATTTTGATACTTGTGTTAAAACCTATTTACCTAAGATAGAAAATATTGGTATTATTAAAGAATTAAAAGATGATGGTACAACACTTGTCACCAAGAAAGCAAATGTGGATGTTACGATGCGTATGTTATTAACACATATAGCAGGGTCTTCATACGCTTTCTTTAACGACGATTACAATAAACTACTTAAACTGAGTGGTCAGCCAAATATCCTCAAAGTGGATGAAACCACCATGGACCACACTTTCTTAACTTTGCCTGGGACTAAGTGGCATTATGGAATGAATTTAGACTGGGCTGGTTTTGTATTAGAAGCTATAACGGGAAAGAAATTGAATATCTTGATGAGAATATTTTTAAGCCTGCAAAAATGGCATCATGCAAAGATATTGTGACGGCGCACATGCGTACTAATGATGGATTATCTGTTGCACCATTTAGTCCTCAAAAGTCTCCTAAATTGGATATGGGTGGCCATGGTGTTTTTGGTACTGTTGACGATTATTTGAAAATTATACGGATTTAGTTGAATGATGGTACTACTTCTGAAGGTATACAAATTATAAAGCCCGAAACATATCAACTTGCAATCCAAAACAACTTACCAGAAGGCTTACATATAACAAGTCTTCAATCAGCTGACTTTACAATTACAAAATCGGTCGATTTAGAATCAAATTCAAAGCCAGATACTTGGTGTCTCGGTTTTGCTGTAACAGAAAATGATTTGCCCACTGGGAGACCACAAGGGTCATTATACTGGTAGGGAGTTACAAATATGTACTATTTAATAGATATCAAAAATAAAATTGGCATCTTCTGGGCGTCTCAAATATTCCCATTCCTTGATGCTTCTGCGAATGGATATTTAGATGTGGAAACTGCTGTAAATGAAAATTTGCATTAACTTACAATATAGGTATGGTATAAATACAAACATCAAAGATTGCTTTTTAAAATACTCAATAACGAGTAGCATAGTTTTAGAAGTCTATGTATATCTATCATTAACACTATAACTTATTCTCTATAACTAGATTTAGTTTATAATGTTAAAGTTATTATCAGAGAAGAAGTCATCAATTGCAAAATTTCCAAATAGGTTATTTTCATGTAATATATGACTATCAAAATCAAAATTGAATCCAGCATTAGAGTCTTCCGGATGAAGACTTCCTGGAGGATATGTGTTTCTTTGATCATATACAGAAATTCTATTTCGTGAGGTTAAAAATTCCTGTTTTATCAAATCAAACAGATACCATAATTTATCAATTTGATGATCAATGAGCACGCGCTCTTCTGAAGAGGGAAGAATATGTAAATTCCTTGTACTATCCCTGTAGCCAGCCCTGTTGGTAAATGCGTTTGAAGGTTTAGATCTCGTCACATTTATACAACAGCTAAGTAAGTCCTTTAACTGTTGTATTTGATCAAGAGAATATTTCAAATTAGCATTTAGACTACTTTCCTGGTCAACTTCATATAATGTGTCATCATTTAGTATACTCCGGCCATACTTATAAGAGTGTGTGGTCTTCCACGCATAAAAGTACCTTTCACTCAAAGTTGAAATTGAGTCTTCACACCTCATCTCTACTTCGTTGATAATGTCGATCAAAGCATTAAGTGATTTAGCATAGAGTTTCACCAGGGAACTGCTCATTGGAATTTTGACAAATGTATTCATGTCTATAGATCGGAGTGTAATCTTGAGTCTAACTTGAAATTGACAAGATAACATTCTCATACGAGTTAAATATTCAAAAATTGGGGTAAAAATTAAAGCAAACCCTGATCCAAAGTAATCTTCACAATAATATAAAAAGTTACTAGAAATATCACCCAATTCGTAATTTATAATAGCCCACAGCTTTTTAAAATAAAATAAATTCAACTGAACATTCCTGTTTTCAAAATATAAAAAAAAGCAATAGTAAATATACAGCAACATCAATTTGCAATATACATATAAATTAAATTTCTGAATCTTCAAAAATTCTGGATAGTAACTATCAGGTACTAAATATTCCTTCAAATTTCCTAGGGTTTCCTCTATTAAAATTTCAAAATCAGATAACCGCTTAGCTAGGTCCGAAATTTTCATATCAGATTTGATTCTAAATATATGTTTTAGAATTTTATGGGCAGACATAAAAACAGGATATAACTTATCAAACGCCATTATTGTATGTTTCTCTATGTTATTTATATTCGAAGTATCCTCAATTAGAAAAGGTTTCTTCGTATCAAAATTCGATTCAATTGTGTAAATTGGAGTGCCATATATTATTGAGTCCTTAATATCAGCGCAAATTAAAAAATACCACAAGTTTCTTTTCAATATCTTTAGTCTTTTATCTATTTTTCTCTCAGAAAAGTATAATATATAATCCGGATCCCTGTTCAAGAACAATGAATTAGCCATTTGATACAAAATACCAATAGAAATTGATGATTGATGATTGCTAGAAGGGTCCTCTTCTGGGGCATGTATATGATAAATATGCATCATACATAAAGACTGGAAGAGTGCCAAGTTTGATTCCGATAATAGGTCAAACTCTTTAATACATAGCTCTGCAATACTTATTAGTTCAATAGGTATCGGGTGTTCCATCAAAAACCGTCTATTTTGTGAGGTCAGTGAATCATCCTTTGAGTTTAGCAACTCTTCATTTTTATCCACCAAATTACTAAACAATGACAAATAGCTCAATCTTACAGTAATCAATAACGTTGCTAAAAAAGCTATGTCATGCTTACTTCCTAGAACAATATCTTCTATTTCTTCATCCAGATTGTCACTAATAGTATGTCCAGTCATTCGAGAGATATCAGCCCGAAAGGCAGATTCATCTAGTATTGGAAAAAAAGGATACAAAGTATCAAAAAATACATCAACAAGCATATTAAGGGTTCTTCTATTTGGTAATACTTGCCTGATTCGTTCTAACAAAGTAGTTTCATCATGAAACACAGCAGGATGAAAACTGATTCCTAATTTCAAACCAAAATTAGATATAGCTTTCTTTATTTCAGTGATATCTGCATCGGAATGCTTTTTGTCTAGTATTTTGATATATTTATCTCCGTAAAATTTACGTGATCTTCGATCTAAATCTTCTAAACTTTTATCTTTCGGATCTCTTTTAAGTATGGGTTCGATTGAAAAATGTATTCGATTAGGAGAAGTCAAATACTTCCATATCAAAATAGCACCGGGGTCTTGTTTCAGCAAAATAGAAAATCCTAAAGGACCATAAGGAGTAAATACAGCTTTCATGTCACTCTTTGGATCTTTATTAATTGATTCAAGAAAATTAATTGTATACTCATCAGCCATAATAGGATTGTAGCCTGTAAAGCGTAAATCGTTCTCTAAGTTTTTCATATCTTTCAAACTCTCCGGACCTATGTTCGTATATCTTTTCTGGCTATTGTGGTCATTATTATATTGAATTCTTGAATCATTAGATTTCTGCTTGTTCTGCAATGTTGCTATGGTTATAGAAGCTTCAAGGTCCTTTATCTTATTGTTCAAAATTTCTATTTTATTGTGTAACGATGGATCGTTTTCTATATTCAGTTCTTCGCTATTTGTAACTCCTGGTTTTCTCAGATGTTCGAAATTGAAACCGTGGTTATCATATGAATGCTGTTTCTTGTTGGATATGGTGCTATACGCACAAGTAGCATCAATGCTCAATTTGATACAACTAGAGCAAGGATGTTTTCTATCACATTTTCTTTTCTTCTTGTGGCAATTACCGCATGATAGAATCTGTCTCTTCCGTTTCTTATTCGATTCGAATGACATATTTTCTTATAGACAATTAGTTCTTATAGGTAAAAGAGAATTTAAATTTAAAAATGTTAATGTCGCTCTTGAAAAATAATGTATTCTTCAAATAAGCCGGGTTATTCACACGCCAAGATATTTTTCAAAGTAAGGATAGATCGTTGAGTTTAAACCCCAATCGTCTATTCGAATATTTGAATTACAAAAAGCTCAGATAATCATTAAATTAGCATCGCGTGCAAAAAATCACGAGTGATACAGACTATAAAATATTTAAATACTTATTTAAAACTCGTTCCTCCGACGATTGACTCTTTATCAGTAATAGTAGGGTTGGGACTATAATCATTATTTTCGGTGCTATCAGATTTAAATGTCCTAAATGCAACATAATATTTTCCAATGTCTTGCGAAATAAAGATCACCATATTCAAGAACATGAGCGCTGCATCAAAACCATAAAGAAATGCTTCATGCGAAATAAGATACCCATCATTTCCTTGGATATATTCAATTAATCTGAATATAGATCTTATGAATATAAGTATTGAGCATGCTAAAAGAGTAAGCAAAATAGAATTCCAATTATTGAACTGCGAAGGAACATTTCTAGTCATCATAGCACATTCATTTGGGTGTTTAAGGACTCTATAATGAAAGATCAGTTCAACAATTATGAACATTCCAAAGAAAACAATCTGGACTATCAAACCACCAATAATTACGTTCTCTCCGGTTTTCATGGATGACAGTGTTTTACCTGAGGCCATAATACCTCCTCCACCAGCCTGCATAAAGAATGACACTACATCACCCACAACAAAGATCTTCGTTAAAAACTTTAATGGAATTATTGAGTATCTTTGACATTCCAAGCGATAAATTAGCCTTCCAAGGGACATGTATAGGGTGGCGGCATACAACGCAGGTGCAACTAACAAGAGCACCGACTGGATAATATAGGGCCCAAGGGAAGTGACGTCGGAACTTGACATGACCCTTCCAATGTATCCAACAAATTCAAAAATCCCACCGAATAAAAAAGGAAGCATAATCCATAAGACNCGCTTCTCTTTTCTAGTGTAATTTTTTGAAGCCATTGTTTTCACAATTTGATAAACTTGAAAAATTGTTGCCAATCCAAATAACACAATAAAAATTGCTGCCGCTGCCTTTGAAGGTGTATAATTATAGGCCTTCCAAGACTGAAGTGATTCATCTCTAACTGCTAGTTTATTTATCGTCATTTGTGCAAAATTTAACATTATGTATGTTTAGATACTTGCAGATAATTAGCTAAATGGCAAGTTAGTATTCTTATTTAATAACAAACGATTAATGTCAAAATCTATGTTATTCATTCTTAGTAATAGTGGAATCATTTTATATATCGTACGGCTGGTCCAATATCTAAGATGATTAATGGCGATTAACGGACTTAAATGGACTTAAATGGACTTAAATGGACTTAAATGTCTTTAACTCTTCTGAAGTGACGCCAATTTTTAGGCTTATTGTAAAGTTATGCGCTTCAGATTCCTCATGCATACGGAGATTAGAAAAAGAAAAGAAAGGGCTGTATTAGATATTTTCATTAATGCTTGTAATCCGCATATTCGATTCAAATTCAAAATGTCAATTATAGCTGGCAATTTTCATGGTCTATTATGTTGATCTCTCTTCAGTATTGAATATATTTGGGATTATTACACCCGTGGCTATAATTTTTAAATTTTTTAAATTTCTTCTTTATTATTTGGATCAAATATCCATAAATACGGTAAATCATTCATGTAAAATTTTATTATTAATGTGGTACATAAAAGAGTTAGCTATCAAGATAGAGAAATTTTAATAAAGTTCCGCTATTGCAGTTGAAAGTATTCGCTTCCAGAACAAAAAAAATAATACATTGTATTGAAGTTCATGTTCATGCAATTAGCACACGGAAGTTTTCGATCACATCTCTTTTTCTTTTTATGACAATTATTACATACTACTACCGGACAATGCTCTTTACCGTGCGTTCAGATGACATAATATCATATTTATATGGTAGGATTCAGTATTTGAAAGAAATGTATTAAATGACTTTACAAACGAATGAATAAAAAAGAATTATTCTAACAGTGAAGCATTGTCGTATATTGGGTGTTATAAATGAATTATTAATAGAACAGATAATCGTTCTTGTTAGCTCTTCACATTGTTGATTAGTGGAGAAATAAGATTTAAACATGAGGTGATATTTTCCAGTATTTTGCTAACTGAATACAATTTTGTTTATAAACATGAGTGCTGCATCAAAGCAGTAGTCCTATATTTCATGAGAAAATAAATATCCATGAGTACCTTGAACGCCCTCGATTAATCTGAAAATACACCTGAAAAGTAATAGTGTAGAGCATATCAAAAGTGCTATCAGAATTGAATTCCAATTATTATACTGCGAAGGTACATTTCTTATAATCATGATGTGCTCATCTGGATATTTGACAACTCTGTAGTAAAAAGTTAATTCAATAGTTATAAACAAGGTGAGGAAAACTATTTGTACAACCAAGCGACTAACAAGTATAGTTTGGCCTGTGTGGAATGTTCCAGATGCCAGAAGAACTCCTCCAGTAAGCTGAACTAGAAAAGATATTGCATCTCCTGTAACAAATATCATGATTAGAAATTTCGTTGGCATGAAGGAAGAAATTTGGAATTCCAAATGTCCCATTAATAGTCCTAAGGAGATATACAAGGTGGCAGTATATAAAGGTGGAGCTGTCAATAAAAGAAGCATTTGAGCAAAAAAGACTTACTTTTTGTAACATCGAAACTTAGAATAACTATAGCATTATACCCAAATGTTTCGAGTAAGCCTCCTGTAATAAAAGGAATTATAATACATAAGATAAACTTATCTATTTTAGCATTGCTGCAAGATACGGCCTTAAGGAGCTGGTATAGTTGGTATATTGTTGCTAGTCCAAATAAAGCTACAAATAATATGGCAGCTTCAAATGAAGGAGAATAAGTGTATGCTTTCCAAGTACCGTTTGGACATACCTGGTATCTAATTCTGTTCGAATCATGATATCACAAATAGCTTTCGGAATTCTCTCAATATTGTAGTTGATAACTAGAGTAATATAATATTACTATTACATGAATAGAACAAGTTAGTATGATATATTATCGTGAAAGTTTTAATACGTACTATGATTATATAGTTGGTGCTTAAATTTCACTAAAACTGACCTGGCGGTGATTAGCGGCGTGAGCGGCGATTGTAGGACCATATCGGTGATATCGAGCATTAAAACAATATTCGCGTATCATACTTAATAGCCCTCTTGTCTCCCTGCCTCTTTGTCTCTGCCTCATTGCCTCCTCTCTATTTCTTAGGAATGGGCTACAAATTATAACACATTTCTTATCAAGTTTTACAGTTCTGTGTAGTTCTTGATTATAAACTATGCAAAAATATTAATATTGAGCATGTTTTTAAAATATACCTGAACTATTGAATTTTAACAGAAAAGTTGTTAATTAATAAGCTTTTCTAAACTGATAGAATCATATGGGTTTACCCGTATTATATGCATGCAACTTTCATATCCTTAGCTGTTGTGATTGTAAAAGAATTTTATGAGGTATTGGAATAAATTTCTCTAGACTCTTGATCGACGTCTCGTAAGAAAAACGTTGGCTTACGTTGAAATCTCTATAAAATCAGTTTCACTGCAATACATAGTTTTAGCGCAGTCATATGTAACAGCTTGGGCTTAAGCTCGAGTGACAATCAAAATATTTCTCCGTTTTAGACTATGCATTTACAGTATATTTTCTCTTAAGCATTTCTGTCCCGAAATTTAAGAATCCAAGAGCAATACTCGAGTTAGACTCATTTTGATGAGGGTTTCATATATGCTGAATTTACGAGTGTGCAACTTTTTACGACTCGCAAATATTTCTATCGGAATTTGTAGCCGGTCGGAGAACAGACGAGTATTCAGCCGCGCACTTTCTTCTCCTTTGCATATGAACCAGATTAAGTTACTATTAACTTCAGTCTCGGCTGGATGACTAGTATGTGTGGGATAAGTCCAAGAATTTTATCAAGAAATTATTTACTTACTCCACCTTAATTTGCTAACTTCATAAAATTATTTTATCACGAATGGCATATAGAACGGAATAATCTTCCGCTTTGCTTTACTGTTCACATTTCCTCTATCTCCCCTCAAGAGAAGTGAAAAGTTCTTTTTGTAATACTTGATAGTCGTTCATACAAACTCGACTTTCCAAAAATTAAGCATTATCTCAGCCATCGCAACATGTAACCGGAAACAATTATTATATACCCCACAAAAGATCATAAATTTAAATGCTATCTATCTATAAATATGCGAGAGAAACATTCATGTTTAATTTAACATCATAACTGAAATCGTTTATTTCTATCCAAAGCCAAAATGAACTATACTAAAGAGGATGGTTCCCCAAATTTAACTAAAGGTAATATTATACATTACTTTAAAACAAGACCTAGTACTTTATTCGATATTCCATTTTTCAAGGCTGATAAGAAAGTATGGCAAGTTTTAAATCCCATCCCTGGATTAAAAGAAATGTCTCTTAGTGATTGGAACTACTATTTCCTCGGGTGGACTGCCTGGACAATAGATGCAATTGATTTTTTCTGTGTTTCTGCTGCAGCGCCCGAGATTGCAGCAACATTAGGAGTTGATATAGTTGATATAACTTGGGGTATGACGTTAGTATTAATGTTGAGATCAGTTGGTGCTCTTATTTTTGGAATAGCTTCTGATTATTATGGACGTAAATGGCCATTTATTATCAATTTATTTATTTTTGTTGTATTGGAAATTGCTACTGGTTTTGTAAAGACATACAAAGATTTTTTGGCAGTGCGTGCTTTATTTGGTATTGCAATGGGTGGAATGTACGGTAATGCAGCAGCAACTGCTATAGAAAACCAACCGATTGCGGCAAGGTCCATTTTATCAGGCTTGTTTTTGCCTGCCTATAATTTTGGATACGCTCTTGCAGTTATTTTCTTCAGAGCATTTGAAAATACGTACAAGCCGGGTGAAGGATGGAGATCTTTATTCTGGTTTAGTGCAGGGTTACCCGTGATAGTAATTATCTGGAGAATGTTCTTTCCTGAATCTGCACATTTCTTACGTCTAAAATCTCAACGCCAATTGGAAGCCAAAAGTGATATAGAACAATTAAAGGTGAAAAAGGTTAAGAATAACGTTTTCAATATAATAAGAACTGAAGGACTTATGTTTGCTTACTTAGTCTTATTTGCAGCAGGCATCCATTTTACTTCTCATGGGTCGGCAGACTTGTATCCAACCTTCTTAGTCAAGCAACATAATATTGGATCCAATAGAAAGACAGTTACTATGGTAGTATGCAACTTGGGTGCTGTCGCCGGTGGATTATTTTTTGGCCAAATGACTGAATTACTAGGCAGAAGGTTATGTATTATGGCTTGTATGTTGACGAGTGGAGCATTCATTTATCCGGCATTCCTTTCTAATGACATAAATGTTTTAACTGCTGGATTTTTTTTCGTCAATTTTGGAATTGCAGGAGCTGCTGGGGTTGTTCCTTTGCATACATTTGAATTATTCAAAAAGGAAAATCGTGTGATCTTGAGCGGTTTGGGTATGTACTTTATTTTGAAAGTTTTGAAACTTCAAATTAATTGATTTAAACATGATTACTAACTTAAATATAGTATACCAATTGGGCAATCTTGCTACTTCTGGCTCTTCAACTATTGAGGCAGAACTTGGTACCAGATTTCCTCTTAATAAACCTGGTTTTCCTGATGCTTATAACTATGGAAGAGTCATGGGAATATTTTGCGGAGCTGTTTTTGCATATGTGATGCTAATTATATTTTTAGGACCTGAAAGATTTCATCAAGACTTATCAACGAATAGAAATGACCTCGAAGAAACCGAAGAACTTTCCGATGTTCTGGTTGTCGAGGAAGAGAATATTGTTGTCCAAAAACAGTAGTTTCTTACTTTAAACAAACATCGTTGGAAAAAAACTAATGAGAAAATGATGAATACGACATACTCGTACTAATATGGGGAGAAAAAAGGCGTATATAGTTTATGATAAAGATTTATTCATTAAAAAATGGAAAGTGATCTTTCAAATTGGATTAACAGTTTGTCACACTGAATTTCACCACAAAATGCTTCTATTAATCGGAGCTATTATACATAATTTCATTTCATAACGGGGTAGAAAACCACCGGAGCCAAACTAAGTTTTAATTAATCCCTCGCATAATTCATTTTTTGTAAGTTCTCATAAAAACAATAGTACCTATCTGTAGCAGCTAAAAGTGGCATTTATCTGACAAAAACTTCTAGTTTGCTCTCAATATCTCCATAAAGGAAACACCATTACAATGCTAAACTGCTAAATGCTACCTGACTATTTCTATCTCTTCTGTATAAAGCCTTATTGTGCATTCAAAATAACATGTCATGCCTAATATATTGATACTCCGGAACAGGCAGAAACAACCTTATTTTGTCTAATAAGACCATAATAATTGAGTGTCAATTACATAATCATTGCAAGTAATACCAGATTCACTTAAATTGTATTGTTTAGAACCCAAGAAACAATGTATCTTTCTATCATGCACGCCCGGTCTAGATCGTAAATTTAGATCTAGACCAATTTACGATGACAAGAATTACTTAACAATACTTATTGAAGTTTAGCAATAACTGTAGCATTATCTAAATAATCTCACATTTTCAAAAGACTTCAAAACCCTCTCCTAGTATTTGGTCAATAAACATTTGCAGTTTCATCAATATATGGAGGAGAAGATTTAGGAAGTATAGTACATGGTCTATTATCAGCCCATAAATGCGCGTGAAGTTTCATTTATGTAGCTATAAAAACTTCCTCGCATCCAAATCCAAACTAGGTTCAATTTATATGCAGACATCAATTATATAGGAATCGAGTACTAAAAAAAAAAGTCTATTTTATTCTAATAGGTCTTTGGGTAATATGTGTGAGCAAGAATAAGATGTTCTTTTCGATTAATCACCAGCCCTTTTGTCGCCTAATTTGGGTTATTTTTTATCACCGTAAGCTGAACAATGTTAGTAATTACCTCTTTTAAGTTCAGTACCCTAGCACTATCACACTAGAATCCAGCAACATATGATAATGTACACAAGGGCATAATTGCAAGCATAAAATGCTTTCAATTTCTATATACACTGAAATTGGTCATCGTAGTCAAATTTCACAGGAGAACTAATAAACAGAAAGAACTATTGTATTATTAATGGTAAATACTAGCGGCTCTTGTAACATAGTAATCTAGATTTGTCCCATAGAAAACGACTGAATAGGGTACGGCTTGAGTTGGTAGTTAATGGAACAATGAAATCCATTTTAGGAAACTCACCTTTTAGTACCCATAGACAAAAATGCTATCATTTCCATAGATAAAGATTTAGAGTTTAGGATGCATAGTTACAATGAACGGCATATTATTGCTTCACTGAGCTTTCTATCAGATGATGCTACAGCAGGAGTTATTTTATTGGTGGATATATTTAGCTATCATAAAAGTCATGCAAGCAGACAAAGTCTAAGTATGCGTTAAAACGATTGGAAGGGATAAGAACCGGTAAATAAATTGACCTCTATTCCCCCCTGGAATTAGGAAGATGCAATAAATTTGTTTATTTAATTTAAAGTATAAAAACTATTTTCAAAAATATGGATAGTACATTAGGAAGTGATTCATTAGAGCCAGAGAAGAGAACTACGATAGATTCGGAAAGATTGAGCCATCGTAATCCTGAGAGGTTTGACGCGGAAAATAGGTTTGAAGGAGAAAATGGATTACAAGCGGATCTTGAAGCGCAGCGTATTGAAGAAGAAGCAGTGGCTGTCAATCCAGCCCGTGAGCCATTATACAAGTTCACAATTTTTTTTACTGAAGATGAAAAGAGAGCCTCTATCTATGGTGCAGAATTCTTTGGCACTTACGTCTTCTTGTTATCTGCTTATCTAGTAGCTAGTGTTGCAAATCAGCAAGGCGTAGAAGATGGATTTTATGCTCCCCGGGTTTATAATATTGCGTTTGGTTTCGGTATTTCACTCTTAGTGGTTGCAGCCTGTACATCAAACTTTTCAGGCGGTCACCTTAATCCTGCAGTTGTTTGGGGTTTATTCTTGAATGGAAATATTAGTATGTTGAGGTTCTTACTTGAAAGCGCAGTTCAAGTAATTGCTGGTATGGCAGCAGCTGGAACTGCTTCAGCATTATATCCTGGTCCTGTCACTTTCGCAAATGCAAAAGATGCCTCAGTTAGTGTTAGTAGAGCGTTGTTCTTGGAAGCTTTCGGTGTTGCATTACTTGAGTTCACCGTTCTCTTTACTGCTATTGAAACAAGTCCTTTTGGAGGGTTGGCATATCTTCCAATTGGCTTGTCGTTATTCTTGGGCCATATGATTTGTGTACCAACTACCGGGGCTGGTTTGAATCCTGCTAGATCTTTTGGCCCAGCAATTGCAGCAAGATCTTTTCCGGGATACCACTGGATCTATTGGCTTGGCCCGTTAATTGGATCAGCTGTTGCAGTGTTAGCATACAAGATTATTAAGTTTGGTCACCGTGGAACTATACTTCAAGAAGCTAGGTTAAAGAGCAGAAATTGATTTTACTTTGCTAAATTACTTAAACCAATTATTATCAACTAATTCCATTATTTAAGTGCTTATCTCAGTTAATTGTGTTCTTAGTGTTTCTGTGATAAAAACAATATTTATATATATTTAATATTTCTCACATATAAATATTTTTACTCAAATTCCGTATTGCTTCTTAAATGTTAGTTCTTTAAACCCAAGTTACTATCATCTTTTACTATTACAATTGTGCTACGATGATTTGATTATCGTCTACATAATCAAACAGTAAGGCAATGCAAGATTGCATATAGGTATTTTGCAACCGCTCGAACCATGAGTTTACATTAATACTTTCATAATCTCAAGCAATATGGTATAATAATATGCCGTAATTGTGTACATGCTAACCATTACGAATATATATTTTATATCTTTATTACGCCTTTACTCGGATAATTGTGAAATGCGAATATCACTACAGATGTTACCATAATTCTCGTTCAGTCACATATTATGCCACAGTCTACGACATTCGAAATTGCAGCCACATAAAAAGCCTTTTTTTACCGAACCGAAACAATATTTCATCTCACCAATCATTTATATCTAATAACACGTATGTCAAATATTAAATTGAATAATTGAGAAAATGAAAATTATGGTTGAAGTCAGGAAAACAGATGAAAGAAGTTCCCTCATAGATAAATGTGAAAATTTATCGGATACTCCTATAGAAAGAAATGAATCTTCACATTTCCCTATTACCAACGAATCTAGAAACATATTTTCGCTGATAGATAACTTTCTCTGGGTTGAGCTATCTTTGCTTACGAATGTTTTCCTTTCTGGATTTGACGGGACAGTGGCTGCTTCCATATACACCACCATTGGCAATGAATTTGGAGCAATGAATTTAGCTTCTTGGATTACCACTTCATATTTAATTACTTCGACTGCCTTTCAGCCTTTGTATGGATCATTTTCTGATATCATTGGAAGAAGAAAATGTGTGATATTTGCTATTATTTGCTTTTTAGTCGGATGTATTGGCTGTTCTATAGCCAAAAGCATGCTAGTGTTAAACTTAATGAGAGCATTTACAGGAATTGGTGGCGGTGGTTTGATAAATCTTTCAACTATTATTAATTCAGATATTGTTATTCCAGAGAAAAGAGGTTTGTTCCAAGCTTGCCAAAATCTACTCTTAGGGTTTGGTGCTATCTGTGGTGCTTCATTGGGGGGACTGATTGCTCAGTCATTAGGTTGGAGATGGTGTTTCATAATTCAAATTCCTCCAGCATTAATAAGTGTCTTCATTAGCCTTAATAATATTCCAAACCAACCAGGATTTGATGCTATTTCTAATTCCTCTATGAAAGTTATATTTACAAAAATTGACATTAAAGGTTCCATCATATTAGTAACAGCGCTCACTTTTCAACTTTTTGTTTTGACCTTAGGAGGGAATGCCTTGAATTGGAGCGATTATAGGTTAATATGTTTAGGAATAAGCGGGATTTCCTTGTTGGTATATTTTTTGTACGTTGAATACAATACAACAGCGAATCCTATAATTCCTATAAAAAAATTTGAAGGGTTATTTCCAATTTGTCTTATTGGTTTTAATTTCTGGATTGGTTTGGCAAGTTATGCGTACCTTTTTATTTTACCACTATTATTCCAAATTGAACTTGGTGATACTCCAACCAAAGCCGGGTTTAGACTTATTTTTCCTGCACTTTCTACTCCTATAGGTGGTGTACTTGCAGGTGTAACTATGGCTAGATTCAATTGTTTGAGACTACTTGTTTATTCTGGTTCATTTATTATGAGTGTTGGTAACTTCCTTGTCTTACTAATTAATAAAAACACCAAGCCGTGGCTTTTGAATCTTCTTTTGATGCCGGCTAATATTGGTCAAGGATTAGCGTATCCGAGTAGTTTGTTCACTTTTATTTTTGCTTATGGAGCATCGAACCAAGCGACGTCTACATCTGTTGTTTATCTACTGAGAAGTATTGGAGGTGTGTGGGGTGTTGCTGGAGTTTCAGCAATAATTCAACTAATTACCAACTATAAAGTATCCAAGGATTTACATAATTTGGGAGAGTTAAACGATGGTGAGATCAATGAAATACTAAATGATTTGAAAAGGTCAACTGAGGCTGCATTAAAGTTACAAGACAATATCAAATGGATTGTACTCGAAGATTATGAGTCTGCAATTAAAATAGGGCAGGCTGTCTCTGTCATTTGCTGTGCACTAGCATTTTTTTTATTCTTTTTAAGTGACATTTTAAAAACTAAACCCAAACTGGCGTCACTGTAATACCTCATATAATATAGAAATCAATAGACGTTTAGATAATCACATTAATATATTCCAGCACCCTATATCATATTTCTTTAAGATTAATAACCTCCTGTAACATAAAAGTAAACAAAGTACTGTATTAGTCTTTATTCATCCTCTACTATATCTTTCGATACAATGTGGTTATATTGTCCGAAATAATATGATTTTGCACCATAAATTTATGAGCAAACCGAACCGAACCGAACCGCAACCTATGGCTGCAAATAACGAAGTGGTTGAACTATGAACTATATAAGAGGCTGAAATCCCAGAAAGTTAATCTTAGTCTTGAAATATAAATCACTTTTTAGTATGAAACTAAACTTATTGAACATAGTCTGTTTTTTGCTTTTTTCTGTTAATTTAGTCCTAGGCGATTGGCAATATCGCTCGAGACCAGATTTAGCTCCTCCAACGTTGAATATTACGATATTTCCAGATGAGGATATTTCTCCCGGTTATTTGTTCCTTGCCCCATTCAGTGGCTACTCAGATATTGGTACTTTTCACGGGCCACGCCAGGCTGCTCCTTATATATTTACAAGTCAAGGGGAATTAGTTTGGTCTGGATTTAGTTATTTTTCTATTTGGGCAACAAATTTCCAAGCAGGTAAATTTGATGGAAAAGATATCTTATTCTCTTTTGAGGGGTCCCATAATCCACTGTATGGACATGGGCATGGGCATATAACGTTTTTAAACCAAAATTACGAAACTATTAAAGAATTAAGAGCAGGGAATCATAAAATTATTGATAAGCATGAATTCCATATAATTAACGAGACAACAGGGCTAGTACAGATTTACCAACCAGTGCCCAAAGATTTGGCACCATATGGGGGAACCTCGGAACAACAATGGATAGTTGATGCTATCTTTCAAGAATTGGATATAAATACGGGAGAGGTCATTTTTGAATGGTCTTCATTGCAGCATGTTTCACCAGATGAGTCAGTATTGTCTATTAACGAAGGAAAGGCTGGCTCAGGCTTCAATTCAAGCGACGCTTGGGATTTTTTCCACATTAATTCGGTAGATAAGGATGAGCATGGTGACTACCTAATATCTGCAAGAGATGCAGCTTCATTATACAAGATAGATGGCAATACTGGAGAAATCATTTGGAAATTAGGAGGATTGACCGGAATTACAAGCTCTGATTTCAAACACGATAAAAACTTGACATTTTCATTTCAACATCATGCTAGATATTTATCAACTTCTGAGGACGGAACTAAGCAATTAATATCATTTTATGATAACTCGGCCCATGGTACAGAGAACAAAGATGGTGGCGTGGTTCAATATAATAAACATTCTAGTGGGAAAATTGTAGAAGTAGATACAAAAAACTGGCATGCCAAGTTAGTTTTTAATGGTATTTCACCAGACAAGTTGTTATCAAAATCTCAAGGCTCTACCCAAGTTCTACCAAATGGAAATGTTTTAGTGAACTGGGGATCGGAGGGTGCAATCACGGAATTTAAAGACGAAAAGCCAATATTCAATGCGTTTGTTGATTCAGGCCAGTTGGGTATTCATGCGGAAAACTACCGTGCTTTAAAATCGAACTGGACTGGTAAACCAAATGAAAAAATTGCTTTGCTTGGTGAATATACAGACGACGGATCAACAAATATATATGTTAGCTGGAATGGAGATACTGAAACAAAGAAATGGAAATTCTATTCTATTGAAGACAATGGCACTAGAAGGTATATTGGAGAAACCTTAAAAACAGGGTTTGAGAGCCTCAAAATATTTGACACTGTGTTTGGAAGAGTTTTGGTGGAAGCATACGACTCCGATGATACTCTATTATCTAAGTCTGACCCTGTGTATACAGAAGCACAAATTTTAGAGGCGAAAGGTATCAAGAAACGCCCAAAATATGTAGATGGACGATATCAGCCATATATTTTCAACATCATTGCAAGATTAACTTCTATTACTATTTGAATATTTCATTATCCTATATATATTCTTATTATACTGCAAAGCCTCGAAATTTCGACAATAAACCTACATGTCCAAGCCATCACTCCAACCAGGGAAGATACTCGCAGAATCAAAGCTATGTAAAAAATTTAGTGTTGGTGATGAAATATTTAACACTGCATCTTCTCTTAATACACCTTTATCATGCATAAGGGAATCAGATTTCCAACCTGCAGAATCAAATAAAATACCATCATCATTGCCAGCAGGGGCGGAGAGACAATTAGTACCTGCGGATGTGACAATTTTCATTTTTTGACGGCTTTTCGGATTATATACTTCTTGTACCTCTCCATTACCATAATCATGCATTGTATGTCGTATAGTTTCATCCTGTATATTTTTGGATGCATCGATACTAAAGTTTTCGAACTCTTCCTGTAGAAATTTCGCAAGATTATGCCACTTTTTTCCTAATCCCCAGACACCACTCCAAATTCGTAACCCTTGTATGTTATCTAAAGACATTGTCTTGAATTTTTCTTTCATATTTTTGACACCTTCAGAATCCACGGAATCTTTTGGATTCTTTATAAATGGATAGTCCTTTATCATAATATCAGAAGGAAATGCATAAAAATATAAACCAGTTACAGCGACTGTGAATAATTCAAATCCAGTGAAGGGAGCAATAACCATTAAATCTTTCAGCCTAAGACTGTTTATCAAAGTAGATAATTTCTCTACTGACTCCATTAGAGTTCTTACTGAGCTGCTCCACCAATGTAAAGTAAAAGAATCTGGATCACAAAACAAGTATTCCCTGTTTAAAAAAATACGGCATAAGAATGAAAGGCCATGAAGATAACCAAAGTTTGGCGCCGATCCTTGTGAGATGTGTGCCCCTAGATTAAATGAGTTGTAGACTAAATGTCTTGGAAGTGCCAATTGAAAAGAGTTTAATTCATCAGAAAGGCTTGCAAATGTAGAGCCTAATTCCCAAGGTGGTTTAATTTCGTACTTTCCACCAATTTCGCCAACCCATTTTGCAATCTTTGACCATATTTCAAATAATACGATCGTAAATCCATAAAATGAAGTCCTATTTAACTCCTGGGTATCTTTAGCATGGATACTTGTTATAATTCCAACGTATGTTTGAGCATTACTACCGTTACCAAAAATAAAGTCATCTTCAGCGCAAGGTAGTCTAATTCTAATTTCATCAATTCTAATGGCTGGTGATCTTTCTCGACCACTTGAGCTACATCTATCCATCATATAAACTGACCAAACCGTCCGTCTTTTACATTCAATTGAAATAACCTCAGAGACGTCATCTAGCTCATCTTCATTGTCATAGTCAGCAGCCAAGTTCTTTTCGTCTCCTAGCCCAAGCACCATAGCCATTCTTGCTGCTATACCTATATAAAGATAGCTTCTAGATGTGTTTCCTTCTCCCCATTCATGGCTACTAAGTAAAGTTAAACTCTGAATCCTTTGAATTGTTGGACTATCGAAAACATCTTTAATTAGGTTTCTTGCGTGCCACCCAAAATAGCTAGAAGCATTGGAGGAATTATCTAAAGAGCTAATTTCATCAGTAGTGCTTGGGTTATGGATATCGTACTCATTGCAACCTGGTGAGCTACAATTTATACTTTTGCAATACAGAGTATCTGGAGTAAATGAATCGGGTTCCTCGGTTTCAGAGAAGCGACCGTACATGCGAGATAAAATAGGATGGAGTCTGGAGCAGAGTCCAAGAATAGCAAGCAATAGAATTGGGTCCGGATATTTCAAGGAATTGGAAAAGCTAGCCTTAAAAAATTTATCTTTATATTCATTAATGTACGTTTCAGGATTAAATTCGGCAGATTTTAGGAAAGAAATCAAAGATGGTTTATGCAAAAAAGGGAATATTCCCTTATATTGGTTTTTAAAAAAAATTTCAGCAATTTCAAGCATCACCTTCTTTTCTGGGAGAATTATTTCAACACCTTTAGTTTGACTTTCATTGGAATGTATTTCCTTACTGCAATTAAAATTGGTATTTTGTAAGGTTGGTCGAAGTTTGGTTATATTCTTTCTATATATCTGAGACTTTTTCAACGTGTAAGAACATGAGAGTTTCAATGAATCACATCTTTGGCATTGACTACCATCATTATTATTATTGCACCTCAACTTGCATTCCCTACACAAGTTGCAGGCCACACTTGATCTATTCTTCTTGGAAAAAGGAGGCATATCAACTACATTACTATTTTATAGATTCCATGGAAATTTTCTTCTATCATATGATAGAAAAAATGTGTGGTTCAACCATCATTATCAGCTCTAACCTCGTGATTTTGAATGTAGAACGCATGCCCATGATTCAAATTAGGTCGCAAAAGCTTTTTCATTTCATATTATTTTATATTTTAAGTTTACTATAAAGTTTCTTACTTCATCTTTTTATTTATATACTGTCTAATTATAATACTGTAATAGAATTTCATTTCTATGTTCTTCTATAAGATAAAAAAAATAGTATCCCAAAATGATGACGATTTCGATGTATCATTGATACAATACCTGGTAATCAGTAAGTGAATTTAAAGTCAAGACGCTTATTGGTGTCATCACTAGTACTTTTTATATAATCTTCTTGCTCTTCAATTGTTAATGAATTCCAAGCTTTTTCCTTCTGCTTATTTCTGAATATGTAGTAGTACCTCGCAAGAATGCAAGAACCCAAAGCACCAAAAGCACATCCTATTAATACTACATTCCCTCTATGATAGGCCGGTGCATCATCAGCCCTATATATATTCGCTGCAATAATCGCAGCGGTTTGTGAGAACACATTCACAACTGCTGCTGATACTGCACGATTTCTAACGGAATTGGAATTCGCTGAACACCATGATATAGTGAGCGGCCATGTGGGACAAGCACCTAAAATAACTGTTAGTATGGCAAAAGTTCCCCAAACATCAACCTGAGAGCCAGGCCAGTATCTCAAGGGAAATAAGCACGAAAGAATCCATACTGGAATAGTTGCTAGCACTAATGCTCTGCTGTTAACGACTTCTGATACATATCCTGAAGCAAGCATAGTAATAATCATCAATATATTGTAAGGAATGCTCAATAGATTAGTCTTAAATGTCGAGAAACCAAGCTTCCTGAGTGTCAAAGTCAAGTAGTTACTAGTTGGAGCAGCTCCAATATCACCGAAAAGTCTGATCATATAAATAGGCCATAAATCATAATCCAATAAGCTTTTAACCAATTCTTTGGGACCGACTGGTTGTCTATTATTCATATCCCCCTTGGTTGGATCATCACGTAAGATTCTATTAACAACAATTTTTTCTTCCCTATCAGTGTACCATCCTTTTTTACGGAACCATGTCTTAGTTTGGACAGCTGATGCAGGCATTTTAAAATAGGAAACCAAACCAACTATCAAAGTAAAAAGCCCTTCAACAAGAAATAACCACTTCCAGCCTTCAGGGAGTGCGTTGGTTTTAATCTTTAATAAAGCAAAAGCCAATAAACTTGACCATACCGCAGTTAAAGGGTTAGCAATGTAAAATAAGGATAAACGAAATGGAAATTCTTTTGAGGTATAAAAGTAGGACATCCATAAGCATATGTCGCAAATAAATCCTCCTTGGAGAGCCCCTAAGAGAGCTCTTGTAACATAGAAGCCAGCTTTGTTTGTGATAGCTGCCTGTGCCATTGACACAATACTCCATAAAACAATTTGGGAAGGAATCCAAATATCAGGTCCAACCTTCTTAGAGAGTAATTGAGACGGCAACTCTGCTGCAAGGAAACAGACCAAATTAATGGTTTTACCGACATTGTAATCATTTGTAGTCATTCCTAAGTCTTCCAACATGTTATCGGACAAAGCTTGCGATATATTATTTCTGTCAAAATCCAAAGCAGTAAACATAAAAAAGGCCCAAAATGTGACATACCAATCGTTTTTCCATACTACCTTTCTTTCTTCTTCGGCAGTCCATGTAATCTCTGGATCAAAATGGTCCCTACATTCATATTCACAATCTAAGTATACCTTGGCATAATGCTCGGCAACAAGTGGATCTTGAAATACATGCTCTAACTCGGATGAGTTGTCTGACTCAACTTCGTATTCCTTGTTAACAATATCAACTTGTTGCTTCTTTTCCTTATCTTGGGAACCTCTCAAAAACCTTAAACTCATTGTTAGCCTTAATAGAATAAAATTTATATGAAATTACATGGAAATTTTAATCCTAATATACCTGAAGCAACGTAAATCAAGTAGCTCTACTGAGAGTTTGACAGGAACCATTCGCAGCCATAGTTTTTGTTTCGCATGCAACTGTGTAAACATGTTGAAATATTATATATGTTAATATCAGTATTATCACGTGTTATACAATTTAAATTGCGTTTTATAATCCATACTTTCAATAATCATGTCATAATATTATAATTTCGGAGACCCCTGATGATGCAATTAAGCCACATAGATGTCAAAAATAATTCGAATTATGCTGAAGATGCCTAATAAAAATATCTAGATTATTCCCGTCAAATGACATAATGCAGGTTTCAAAATTTTGTAAAATATGAGTATTGGACCCTGATTGGACAAACGGGAAATTATATCCATTAGCAAATTAGCAAAATAATCTATTTAATTCCGTAGTATTCATTGTATCGGTTATTCGCAGTCATATATTTGATTTTGATAAAATCGAGCACACTTTCAGAAAAATTTGCATATTTCGCAAATTTTGATTATATCTCAATAAAAATAGTCCATTATGCTTAAAACCTAAAATGATACAATTCGATTATTAGTAGCCCCAGATCTTATTACACTTCTATTTATCTATTTATCATAATTTGAAATGTGTTTAATAAAAAAGAATTTCATATTCCAATTTGGTGATTGCCAATTAAGTGTAGCTCCAGAAGTTTATCTTGACCAAAGGCTTTTACTCCAGTATGGCTGTACAATGGCGCATAGGAAAAAGGTCTCGTAATTTAATAATAATACAATAAAAAGAATCAGCCAATGTAGGTGAAGATAGTATTCCAAGGTAGGCTTGGTTTCGCTGTGCCTTCGATGTCTACAATTGAGTTGCAAAAATAACTTCGAATCGCGTTTTTAGCTTAACACCCATTAATCTCCGTTAAACCCCACCAATCACCGTTAAACACCGGCATCTTTAAGCATCATCCTATAGTATATAATAAATATAAGTAACAGGCATCTTGTAACGTAAGTTGTATGAATTAGACTACAAGTAATACTGTTAGCTATTTAATTTGAAAGCATTTCCATACTCCGCTTGGCTTAAAGATACAATGCTAAAAAAATTAGAAAACAGAGATAAATCATGGAAGGCCTATGACTATACACCTTGAGGCAGCAGGAGCAATTTTTATTGTGTTATTTTTATTGGCGACTATTTTCCAAGTATATCAAGTTCTGAAAACAGTGGCTTCAAAGCGTTTTACTAGAAAAGAGAAACATGTCTTATGGATCATGCTTCCTTTCGTAGTAGGGGGCATTTTTGAATATGTTGGATATCTTGGAAGACTTTTATCAAGTCATGATGTCACCGTCCTAGGACCATATATCATCCAATCGGTACTTTTATTAGTTGCACCTGCGTTATATGCCGCTACCCTATACATGTCTCTTGGACGATTAATTGAACGCTTGGACTGCGAAAGATACTCAATG